GTAGTCTTATGAACCCACGACAAGGAGACGCCATACTTCGTGAACAACTTCGCTCCTCTTCGTCTAGAAATGACTCTAGAGACTTGGCCAGAAGACTGAAAATATCTCAGTTAAAAGAGCCGTTTAAAGTCTAAAGCGGTGTTTCCTTTCCCCCCAGCACCAGAATCGTGATGACGATTTAAAATATATGACGTAAATATAAAACCCCATGCTTTTAAATGTCACGTGGGTGAATCTGAATATTCATAAATAGGTCCCCTTCTATGCCATGTCACGACATGTCGCTATGTACCTTTATTTCTTTGGGTCTCAGCCGAATCGTTTTTCGCGTTAGTTTTGAAAAGTAAAATATGTCATCGCACACATGTATCAGGCCCGCTAGACAGGCTTAAGACTTTCAGTCTTGTGGGAGAAATGTATCTTCCTTTTTGAAATCAAAAATGTTTTCTCACGTCAGCAAGTGAGCCGCTTGAACTTTTCTGAAGTCAATCAGTTTACTTACCTCTGTAAATTGGTATGTATGCACAAACAAATGAGATTTAATTCTAAAACACGGTTAGCCCTCTTCTCGATAATCCATCAAAGTCTGATCATACCCAATCCAGGCTGAATCGCTTTTCCGCCCACTGTAACCTAAACCAAGCCTGTCTAAGTTCTTCCAAATATAAACTGAACAAATTACGAGCAGTTCTTTACATTAATCAAGCCCCGATAGACGGAGTCTTTCGGGAAGATTCATGGAAGCGACAAGTGTTACGCCCTCCTTTCTCTTTCCTCGTGCTTGTCTGAATTCGCGTAAAAAACAGGGGAAATAACGCCAGCTGTACAGACTAATGTAGCGCTCATAGAGAGCTTAAGTTTCTAGAGAAATTGTAGTGCTGCGTTGGAGGGGGAGTATAACGACATAATTTGGTTTTATCAACTGAGTTGATAATGTTGATTAGTCACAGTAAAGTTGTTTCTAATGGCTAATTTACACTAAAAAGTCAGGTGATAAAACTAAATTATACTGTAGAATTCCGCTCAAAATGCTCTTCAAAGTCGGTGATTTGCCCTGTTTAATGCACAGAACAGGCACAGTTTAGAAATTACATAAAATTTACGTTTATGATTATTACATTTCTAATCTGTGGAACCTCTATTAAGCCCCATCCCCCGTGGCTGACCGCTTAACACAGGTTTGTCTATCAGTAAAGTTACATCAACTTAATGTTATATTAATGTAATTTTAACGTAAGGGAGGGTCTATTGGTAAACATGCAGCGTGCATATACTTCTCTCAAACGCATGTAAATGTGCACGGCCATGAACACTTTCGGCATGATACACCAAAGTTATAGTACAATTACTCATGCACATTTCATGTTCATAACTGCGAATACGGGTGGCTACTATCAAATTAAGTACCTTTTTTTTTTCATTTTCTTGAGAGGCAAAGTCATGAGATGGTAATGGTTAAACAGGACATTTTTGAGGTAAATAAGAAAATGAGAGTGTAAATTTATGTTGAAATTTCAAGGCTGAAATAAGCTTTGTCAAAGATGCTATTAATAATGATTGAATTTTAGGAGGCAACTAAATAAATACTACAGAATTATGTTATAAAAACTATTGCCTTGGCACTCCACTAAAGTGGGCACTTTCTTAAGATCTTAATAACTGAAGCTCCTTCATGAGAACCTCACAACATTGTTCTATTGTTCTTTCCATGACAAGCATCTCTAATGGATCAAAATTGCTCAAGACATATTCTGTCACATTATCTCTCTTGCTTGGTCTTCCTACCCCTACACGAACTCTCCTCAGGCTCTAAAAAAAATAATCAAATACACATCAAATAAGACATAACATGAATCATCTCTTGAAATATGCCACAGGTAGACCACTGCCTAAAAGTCAGTCATGCAAAGGGTGTAATAAGGGGTTTTCATTAAGAAATGCAATAGCATGCCTGAATGTCTGCATATCTAAATAAAAAAAATAGGCTGGGCCACTGAAATTTAAGTGGAGAATTTTATGTAGTACCCTGGGAATTCTCTGATCACTGATGTCTGATTATGATGAGAGAAAAAGTTATTTTTTGATAGCTGAGATTTCATCCTCTTTCCTTCTTCCAATGTCCACAATCACAATAAAGCATAAAAGAAAAACATAGTAACTCACATCAGAGTGAAGAGATGCAATTGCTGATGTTACTCTGTTGTGACCCCTGCAAAAAATGTTACATACATGTTAATTGAAATTTCAGCATACAGATGAACAGAACTGAATCTTCATTTAGCATTTTACATTGTCAGAAATAACAATTAAAGCTTGAAGTATAATTTAATATTCACATAGCACATGTTGTGGGAGAAGCAGTGGCCTTACACCTAGCTCTCTCTCAGTTTTCGTCCTGGTCCTGATGACAGGTTCTTTATAGGACAGAGGCTCTCTCACTGTGCCTCTCATGGTTGTGCTGAAGTTAAATTGTCATTCTCAAACCAGTTGATTTTTGGTTAACATTGTCTCATTTTCATTACCAGTAAATCTGAACCAGGGGAAATAAAAATTGCACTGATTTGAAAAAATTTAAAATACAAAAACTTTTAAACTATCTGTACACATAAGTAGAGGCAAATTGTCAAAATGCTCCTCAGGGTTAACTAAGGATTACCAACTTTTACTGCCTTCATGCTATAGACACCATGATATTACATAAAACTATAGCAGCTGACTAAGCAGGCTGGTTCAATAGACAGCCTTATACTCTACAAAAGCAGGTGTATTAGTGCTGTAAGTACATGTAGTGCTTGGTATAACATGGCTCACCCAGCACTTCCTCCATGTTTTAAACTGTACTTCCCTACAGGTCTGTCAAGGTCATCATGAACAAGAATAACATCAGATGGGTTCACTTTATACATTGTGACTGAATAAGAAAGGAACAGTAACATGAATTACAGTTTGTTGCTGCATGTAAAAATGTTATCAAGTTTGTGGTATCACTATTCAAGTAAATTCATCAGGTTTACAATTTGAGCTGACTAACTGTCCACATATTACATTTCTTTCATGAGGATTACTGTGAAAAGGGGAAAGTAAAGTGATGTATTTGCATTCAACTTCTGTCATTCCATCAGCATGACCTGTGTGTGGGCCAAACTCTTCGCACATTTTCAAAACTCATCTTGGCATAGTATAATTTTCTCCTTTTCTCACTTATCTCATAGAAGAGGTTTCACCCCTTGACCCAAAGAGTGATTAGGGGTGATATAGCAGGGAAAAAACTTGATGCTGATGCACACATTTAAGTTACCAGAATAAATGAAAATGATTATCAACTAAAGAAGCCTTTGGTTGTTAAACGAATTCTCCTGATCAGAACCTTTGGAAATGTATGGAGAACTGTGCAGAGAATACGCATACTGGTGCTCGCGATATCATGTATAAGTGTAAACCTCTACACACTGGTACCAATGTTCAAAATACCACAAAATTTGTGTCATAAGTTAGAGAATAATCTAACAGCCAGGGTACCTACTTTTGAAATGCTCCTTCCATTCAAGTTCATTGCAACAGAGGGTTTCAATAGTATAAGTTCTTGGTGACCAACTTTTGTCACTGCTACGTAACCCAAAGATTGCCTGTTGAAATGCCCATAAGTTCCCAGATACTTGAAAAGGGTGTCAACTACAAGCATTCCGACACTATAGCGTGTTTCAGGATGGAAGAGATTACCCAAACCAACAACCTGTGCAAAAACAAAAAACAATTCACCATACATCAACGTTCAGCGTGACTCGCCATTGCCTGGAAATTAAACCCAATCTAGTAGTCATTTATTGAGAAGAGAAAGCTGAATAACAACACAAGTATATACAGTGTGTAAACATTTACTGTCAAGTAAAGTAACTTTGTTTCACTGTGTACAAACAATGGCAATCAGAAAAATATAATCCATCACTAGAAATAAAAAAGATCACTGACTGCCATGTTTGGGTTCAAACAGCTCAGTAATTTAAAATAGCTGAAGACGCATCTAGTTTCTTAAAAAAACTTGAAACCTGATGCGGGGTTGGCAACATTGATAAACCACATCGACTGACCATCGAGCGTAACTTTCTATCATCTGACGTTTGAGCTTGACTTGCGCATCGTTGACAAATGACTTCCACGACTTTGATCTGTTGTGATGATCTAGTACATTAAATGGGGGCAGGCGGAATGTACCTCTCCTCCACACCGCCATATCCACCAGACCACTCCACCATATCCGATGAGACACAAGCCCGCACTCATTCATACCAGCGGATGTCAGTGAGTTTCAAAACGTGCTTGGTGTATGAACACATAGGTTGCAAGGTTGCATCGCTTTTTCAGACAAGTGTCGTGGAATAATTTGATAAGAAGACCTTTTAGTTTCAGAACGTCCTTAATAACAGTTTCATCTACGAGAACTTATTGCTTATGGCGTAGCTTTTGCAGTAAAGCGACGAATAGCGGTTGTAAACCGCTGGGGTCGATTACTCAGAGAGATAAGTTTCATCTGGTATTCACGTGCAACGTGTGTGAAACACGATCACAGAAGCTCGTCAGTAAACAGGCCTATTCTAAAGGAGTAGTTATTGTCAAATGTCCTGGATGTAACAAAAATCATCTTATAGCCGACAACTTGGGGTGGTTTTATGACGATAACAGGTAAATTTGCTTTACTGCTTTGAGCTCGACAGAGCTCGAGATAGAGAACTAAACGCTTTGACATAAACAGTGAATTCTTAGGTGAAAATCCTAATTCCCCCAAGATGCATTTCCGCAATTTCACATTTAATCCAACTTAGTAGGGGGTTAATTTTTACGACTTTCGATAAATTTTTTCAGGAAAAACGGTTCAAGGAGTACAGCTGTGGAAACGTTTAAGTGATTCCAGGCCCCGGGACGGAGAACTTGGTTTACGCTATGCTGGGTATGTGCTACTGTTCCTTAAGAACCCCTTCACCATTATATTATATTCTTTGGCCAGTCACAGAACCTCTTGACTGTAATCCTCCAATTTTTTAATCTCTACTAACTGGAATTTTCTTATCCCTAAAATGTTCAACCTGTGGTAATCAATCCAGTCATGAAAATGTGACCCCGTCCTTTGGCACATTTTTATTAGCTTATTAGTAGAAAGTAACAGTAACGCTGCCCCCCACCTCCCACTGGTTCCACACTGCCCATACACACTGTGTACTGCCTCTGTTTTGTTGGTATCCAATCATTTTGCCAAAAAGGACGGTGTGTCTGTTATGGATGAGACAATTCCTCCAAAGTCAGAATGTGTTAATCCTCAGTGATCATGCACAGCGTATTCGAAACGGCATACACTGTACATGTTCATACCATGTGAGTTGATCGTGAATCAACTTTTTCTTATTCAGAAACCACCTTCACATTGTCTCAGTGTTTTGTTCACATAGAAAGTTAGTTTAAGTTTTATTTCAGTCATTAACTTCCTTCTGAAAGTAATAGTGAAAATCCCCATATGAGTGAGTTCATATAATGCCTACCCACATATGTAAGATACATGTGCAAACACAGCTGAAGTCAAGCTTGAATGATACGTGTTATTAAATCATTACTTTAAGCCTTTTGAATGATATTTTACAGAAATATTGAAGATATCTTGGCTGAAAAGGGTGAATCAGTAAAAATGTTGACAGAGAATGATTCCTTAGGGTATCTTGTAAAAGACTTGGCAAACAGAATTGAAAAGGGAGAACGATGAGAAGATGAGGATTAATTAAATTTTTTTTGAGAGTTAAAAACATGCCCCACCACCTCACACAGAGGTTATGTCCCTCTGAGATGGCGACATGATCCACAGCCAGAACTTTGTGTTTTATTGGAAGATGACTCAGATTTTGGGACCAAGCAATAAGGAAGATGAGTTTTGAATACAAGAGGTCCAGGGAAGCTGGTAAACATTTTCTTGGTTGACTCAGCGTCTGTTACAGTATAGGGATAAGATTTAATGCCCAAAATAATCCCTTCTGCAAAAGGCTCTCGTTCATCCAATCGACACTCGTCTTTTTACATTCATGAAGAATCTGTCACACAATTTCCTCAGTCCAAGTGGAGCCTGCGAAAAATGACAATAGAAACCTGCATTGTTTCAGAAAAGGTTACAATTCTACCGTTTGCAAGGAGAAGTGTGGATCGCGGCAGAGACGTTATTTCAATCTTTATTAAACGAATGAAGCATTACACAAAAATAGATCATTGCTACTGATGAGAAGCTAATAATTAGCAGAGTTTATTTTCCGCACCTTGGAGAGTCAGCGCTTAATCGTTTGTGGGGAATCATTCAACTTAATTTAAAAGTATCATACAAAAGCCCTGTAAACAACTGATAACTTACAGCGAGCTCAAGCTACGCCATGCCAGAAGGTTGGCCTGCGCAATGGCCATGTATTCCTCTCGTTACAATTGTTCTGGTTGTTACTTTCAGTCATTTTTAGTGTTGCTTGTGTCGTAGTCGTTCTTGTTACTCTGCAATCTTGTAAAAAGAAACTGTCTTATGGACGTAAGGGATAAAACGAAATGGCGAACGAGAAACAAAACTTTGGGAAATGGGGTCAAGCCAACCACGATCTAGGTATTTTCTCACGGCTTGTTCCATCACAAATCAAACTGGAATTCCTTTCACTAAACCCAAACGTTTCGCAATGTCATTATCGTGCCCTTCGTTGTTACAATCGTTGCCGTATGCATGTGCTAGGACTTCTCTGAGTAGCCATAATGACTAAGAGGAACCAAATAAGTACAAACCTTTAACATAATTATGTCCCTTGCCCAGTTGACTGAAGACATCAAAACAAATTATGTATTGATTTATAATGAGTTTCACATTTTAGAGAAAAGACCCCTGTCACTTGTAAACGAACCTGATCTTGGATATGACGTAATAAAGATATCCTCCTTTCGGGCCAGCAATTTTGGAAGAACATCCAGGCCTATTAGCAATCAACACCACAATCTTGACTTGAGGAATGTCCGGCTTTAACTCTTTCAAAATAAAAAGACACTTTCGCTTAAAAGATCCACTTCTCGATTCCCTAACTTAAATCCCTAGGAACATCTATTGACGAACGAATATTCACATGTTCAGGACTCCAATTGTCATCGAATGACAGTACGCAGCTGTCACCATTGAATTCGAGTTTCTAAGTAGGTTTCATGTGTTTCGATTTTTTCAACCTTAATACCCAGTTATGCTATGATTTTTCAAACCAAAGATCATTCTGATAATCAAACAACTTGTTCCATCAATCACAGAGCATTCCACCTTGAATAATCTTTGTGATGTATCGTTGAGGATTGCTGTTTTATTCTGGTTTATTTTGAGATGTGAAATCGTAATGCCCACGGGTCGTCATTATGAAGAGGAAATAAATTTCTGTAAGGTTGCATGTCCTAGTATCACGCGTTACCGACGAACCGTTTAGGTAATTGCAGGGAAAATTCAATATCTTAAATGCATTTATGGTCTACAACTTACTTTTGCATAAAATATCACAAAACTTTCGAATAAACGAAAAATAGGCCATATACAAGGCAAATTGTATTTTACATTCAACGTTCTAATAATAATGTTAGTGACAAGTTTGCTTAGAAGACGGTAAAGTCTATTTTAAAGACCCAGAATGAATGTAACAATAACAAAAAACCCCTCGTCTGGAAAACATCAAGGGCACCTCAGCTCTGCGCTCAATATGTTAAGGGAGAAAAGGCTACACTATCACTTTGTACACCTTACAGGATGAGTGTTGCGGAAAGACAAAATTGGCATTGCAAGCAAGAACTTTGTGTATATGCAATTTTAGCTCATTTAGGTGTTCGGATTGTAAGCCATTCAGGAAAAATATTAAAATTTTGATATTGTTTATCTTGTTTTTGTTTTACCAGATCTTAACTGGGAAGGTATGAAAATTTATTAAGGTAGGAAGTCATTCTTTTAAGGGTAAATATTTCGAAGGAAAATACTTAGTTTGCAAGATAAGCTGTATGTACTTAATGTGATTCGTTGGTCAAGTGTGACATGATGACGATGGTCAAAGATTGACAGCATGGTAATTGTCACCCTATAAGCTGATAACCAGAATTTTCCATTAGATCAGAGCTAGCTTTCAGTTGTAATAAGCTCTTAAGGAATGAAAAAAGTGGCTGACTTAAGTGCATTAGAGAAACCTGAATTTTCTTCTAACAGTATGAACATTTTTGTACCTTGAAAAAATAACCTACCTGGGCTGGTTACGGTTTCGAATTCGTCATCTTGAACAAGGTTGGAGTGAATTTAAGTGAATTGTCTCTGAGACGCAACAGCAAATATGTATTCGCATTCCTTTCACACCAGTCTAGGTATGAACTTCAAGTGTCTCTTTTTATTATGATAGTGCTGATTTAGGATTAATTAAGATAACTCAGTGACATGTAAGTTCAGTTAAGCCGTTTACTTTGTCGTAAACTTCATCCTTAAACTTACAATCAAATTGCTAGCTTAAGTTATTCTTCAAGTTAAGATTAAGTCTTGTTCTTCGCGTTTGTTATTACGAAATGCTTTCTGTTTCATTACCGGGCTACTACAGTGACAGAAGTTCCCTTAATTTAGCTGCAGTCTCACCATCTCCAACTTTTTCACTGAAAACCTTATCAAACAACTCATTTTGTTCTTCAGTGAAGTAATCTTTCCATCCTCCTACTTGACCCTTTCTAATAAAGCCATCCCCCTTGATTCCTTCAAACCAAGTAAAGTTGGTGTGACTGGAGCTCTTCATGGCGTCAAAGGACGTTTGTCGGACGATGAGGTCACGTGTTTCAAGAGAGATCTTTTTGCCAATGAACTTTACTATCTTGTCAACAGCAGCTGCTGGATTCTAAATAAGTAGAACGTCATAACTTTTAAGTGAAAACTTTGCAATAACTGTTGACACAAAAAATTAAAGAAACGCAAGGAAAAAGCTGCATGATGACAAACCGACTTTTTTCTGGCATTAAAATCATTTAGGATTGTCACACCTTCAAGCTATTTTGAAATCTCGCAAAATTTTCCATCTTACGGTTTTCTACTCTCTCATTATATTTTTGGTATCAACTTTGTACCACAACTATCCTTTTAAACGACTGACGAGTTTACTTGACAAGCCATGCAGAAGGCTGATAATCGCCGTACCAAAGTTTAAAAACCTGACATGCAGAAGGTAAGAAAATCGTCGTATCGAAATGGAGGGTGCATAAAACAACTACTTAGGCTTCACGATCCTTAAATGGTTTGACATATTTTCTTACCTTTTTTATGTCCTCGTATGTAAGGAAAAAAATGTTGGGATCGCCCCTTTGCTTCCACCAGCTTAACACGTGATCAAATAGCGAGCCATATGCATCTGCACGATAGAGGGTGACAAGGAAAAGCCATTTATTAGAACACACAAGTTTTTATCTATATTTTCGTCGTCCAAGTGTTCTTTAAGACGTTTTCAATCGCTAAACTTGATTTGTTTTGAGTTTTGTAAGATGATGGACGTGCAGTTGGGAGTGTATGGGGATTCTTCGACTCATTGTGTTTCTTTAACGACGTGGAAGCCTTTTCTAGTGGAAGATCAAAAGTTAGCGGGATTTCATTGGACGATTTAAACTATACTCGGTGATCGGTCGTGATAATCCGCGGCAGGCTCTCAATCAGTCATCGAGGTTAAAGCCAATCGCCTTACTTGCGCTAGTATCCCTCACTTGGGGTCACTTTTTATGATTTATTACGAATTCTCACTAGCTCCTTTGAAATTTTATCGTTGTTTTGAAGATTTGTTGCCATTGCTTTGGTTCTGGTTTTGCGCCACTGAAAGGGAATGCACTCTGCATATCGCCAAACTTGGCATGGATGCCTTAAGACTGGTCAACCTTAATGTGCCTTTCTATTCCATCTCCATATCGTATTCTTACATGGGATTGGGCGAAGTCCATTCATACCATATGATGGTTATTGATTTGCATGAAAATCAACTCCCATTCATCGATGTTAGAAATATCTTTTTTTTTTCCGAGGAGGCGAATGAAGATGTACTGTGTTAGTAATGTGTTTATGCGACGTCTTTTGCTACAAACATTAGGCCAATTTCATGTTCAGCGAAAAAAGGGCTATACTTACGATCTCCTTGTAGAAAACTTTGGAAGGCCTCATCCCAGGTGGGAATTTCTGCTACATACGGCATGTTGCAGCTGTGATGATACAGGGACACAAACACATCTTTGGGATTCCGCATTACATATATGTATCGAGGCTTGTTAGCTTCATCAGAGCCCTTAGGGACCAAGCAATAAGGAATATGAGTTTTGAATACACGAGGCTCAGAGAAGCTGGTAAACACTTTCTCGGCGGACTTGGCATCCATCACAGAGGAGTGATATGATTTGACGTCCAGAATAATCTCTTCTACAAAAGGCACTCGTTCATCCAATCGACGCCGGTCGATTTTACCATCTCGAAGAATCTGCCATACAATTTCCTGGGTCCAAGTGGAACCTGCAGTAAATGACAACAGAAACCTGCACGATTTCAAATAATTTTCAATTCCGCCATTTTCAAGGAACCAGCACCTCCTACTTTCGGAACGAAAGTGTGCATTCCAAGAGGGTTGTTTACATCTTCGTTTCAATGAAGCGAGTGATTAGTATTAAAATTTCTTGTCTGAGATTCAGAGGCAGTGTTTAATCGTTTGTTTGGAAATTATTCAAGTAAATTCAAAAGTATCAATGAAAAAGTCTTCTGAACACAATAACTTACAGCAAGCTAAACCGACACGAGTAGGTCGGCTTGCTCAAATGATCTCAAAAGTTGGTTTATGTATGCCTGTCGTTACTCTTGTTGTGGTTGTTGCTTTCATTTGTTCTTAATGTTGTTCTATCGTCCTTATGCTTTTTACTCTACGATCCTGTAAAAAAAAACCTGTCTTTTGGGGGATAAGGGACAAAACAAAATCGTGAACGAGAATAAAAAAACGGGGTCGAGTCGACCGTGATCTAGGGATCTCCTCTCGGCTTACTCTATGCTCACCGGAACACTTTCCGTTCACAATGATCACTTCCTATTCTTATCTCAACTCAAACGAAGCGTTTTTACAATGTCATTCTCGTGCTCTTTGTTCTTGTTGTTGTTATTGTCGTCATGTCTTGCTGCCTTTACAAACCCACTGTATTTACAGTGAGGACAACGAACTTAGTGAATACCGATCATTAGCAAAATTACGTCCCCCGCTCAGTTTGCTGAAGACATCAGAACAAATCCTATATTGCATTACACTGATTTTCACTTTTTAAGAGAAAAGAACCCTGTCAGTGATACGAACCTGATCTTGGATATGATGCAATAAAGATATCCTCCTTCCGGGCCGGCAATTTAGGAAGAACGTTCATCATTTCTTTTGTTACACCCTTTTCCGGCCAGGCTTTCAAGCTCAGCAGTTCTGTCCAATCGCCCATGCCTCTTTGAGATGATTCTCAAGAGATTGAGATTACATAAGGTCAGAAACACTCTTAAAATTAACTTGAGAAATTTTACAACGTAGGCGATAACTTATATATACACAAGTTTCAGAAACTATTAAAGTTGACTAAGCATAAAAGGTAAGACATACGCAAGATAATGTAAAAATATTCTTAGAATCAAGATCACTCATTTTTAGTGTCAACGGTGAAATTCAATAAAAGCCAAGCATTACGTTCGTTGATGTCTTTCACTTTCTTCCCGCGTGTGGTATGGATAATTTCAATGGTAACCGTTATCATTAAAGTGCAGTGTGATGCTTGAGCAAAGTGCAACCTCTGAGTGGAATTTTTGACGGTACGGCCCAGGCGAAAAACTGCGCCATTCTGCAGAATTGTACCTGTATTCAAAGCAGAATCCTTTCATGGAAATTCATGAACCTTTGAATACCTACGCAGCTGCCGGAATATTTATTCAACGATAAACTGTGTCACACTATCCAACATGGCGGTGCGTATAAAATTTCGACCTTTTTCACACTTAATGCTTAAGTTAATTTAAGTTAACAATGAATGAGTTGCTAGTAATCGGATCCTTGTTTTTGTGCAAAGATTTTCGGGATCACCACGGGGCAAACATTGCGCGAGTTGTTGGAAGGAAATATCTGATGACGAAATGTTGTTTGTTTTGACGTCAAAAAAAACGATTGTGGAGAGAGATCAACGCTTTTTCGCCGTAGTTTTATCATGAATGGATTAAGATAATGTTAATACAAGGAAGAATAAGTTTTATGAACATTACCACGAAATATGTTGTAAAATATACCTTCTCAAAGGAGAGAAGTCGTCACCAGCGGAGATGGAAATTGTCTCTACAGAGTTATTGCTCTTTGGAAGGATAAAATAAGCGATGAAAAATAAAAGGAAATCCTTAGGTCAAGCGATGATTTGACGAGAAGAATCCAAGGTTTTTGAGCGGCCAGCTATCTCCCCGAAGTCCTGGAAGGATCTTGCAAGGAAAGGCAAGATCACGGGAATTCCGGCAGAAATATGGACGTACATATGCATTTATTCAGTTGTGCATCGCTCCTTAAGCGACCCATTTGTACCTACTCATCGTCGCATAAGAAAGAGTTCACTTTTGCGCCTATTATCAACGCTGATTCGTTTTCCTCGATCACAACAGAGATGGCTGGAAGGCTGGGAAGGCTGGGAAGAGAAATAAATTTATACCAAGGGGGCGGTCGACGGTCCAAGATAAGGAGATGGATGGGCGTGGGAGTGAGGAGTGAAGATTCGTCTTTTCGCCCTTTCCTCGCCCCCTAACCCCGCCGTCTACTCTAACTGCAAATCAAACATGGCCAGTTGGATAAACGATCGCGAGCCTATAACGTCAGCTCGCACTAATAAGACACCTGCAATGCAGGCTAATGTTGGCTCTGTGGGGATTTCAGAAATCTTTACGCAAACACAAAGATCCGATGACTAGCAACTCGTTCATTAAAATGTGAACAGACGTGAGGATCCGCGCGGCTTGCGCGTTGGCAAGTGCTACGTAAATTTAGGGCTCTTCCGCAGAATTTTCTTTATGAAAATAACTACGCAATCATAACATGAATGACAATTTCACGATTGTAGAATGATTCAGCAACAAGAACGGCTTTTGAGGATTAGCCTACGTGTCACCGTATCCTCCTCCTTCTGTCTTTCTTGGGTTGTCAGTTCTATATCGGCTGATGTTATCTGAAGGCAGAACCTTTCCTTTTTTTTTGCCCCTGGTTCTGTGCGTGTTTATCTCATGACAAACTGATTTGAATATGAATCTCGACAAATTAAATTTACTTGTCTTGATTGTACATGTTTTTCCTTAGCAGATTTAATTTAATCTTATTTCCGACGATAAAAATCTTTTATGCACCCAAATCACGTGGCAGTCATAGGTTGACAGTATAAATTTCGTTTATTTTTAAGACCGCTCCATGTGCTTTTTATGTCGAATTTTCGCAAATGCGCGCAATTTGTCGGCCGAATATTCTAGAAGTTCGCCGAAACCACAAAAACTTTTTATATTTCCATGCACTTCTATCCTATTTTGGCCAGTCTGAATAAAAAGGCCGTGGGGAAGAAATTGGAATTTTGCGCTGAGCCGAGATAAAAGTTGCATATTTTAGGTCATAGAGGTAGCGTCAAAGTACGTGTCAAATAAAAAAAAAAAGTACCAAAAAAAAAAAAATGTTTTGAGATATCGATATCGAATTCTCTCTGTACTGAGCGACACAGATCCTTTTTGGAATATATATCGTATTAGAACATGCAACCTTTTATCAAGCTATCTCCTCTTCATAAAGATACGTCCCTAGAGGGTCACGACTTTTCAAATTGAACCACACTCAAAACAACTTGATGATCAATGCGAATATATATTGCAATATCGTTTCGATCCAAGGTCAGCGAATGGATGCCGTCCTTGAAAGTGTTTTCAGGAATTGTATATGATGGGAAGACTAGTAGACTTCCCGATTTGCATAGGCGAGACACGTCCATGTATGTTTTTGGAAAACTTCGCCACGCTAAATGTAGGGCGCATTTTGCTCACTGAATCGAAGAATAATAAATAGCTCTCACCTCGCTTAAGTTACTGGGTCAGAAAGGTTTCTTCCAATCTTGGATGGATCAACTGATTACTGACAACGAGAGCCTCTCCCAATTTACATCGACCGTACAGCGTAAGGCACCATGTGACAACTAGAAAGTAGTACCCAGACTCAACCGTATTCTCGTAGTTTTTTTTTTTTCTAGAATTTCTGTACCGGAAATAAAGAATACTTTTTATGCACATAATAACCAGGTTCGCTGAAAATTTTGATACAAATTAAGGGATTTACTTTTGGACATAACATATCACAAAATGTTAGAATGTGTCCTTGTGGTTTATTCATGCAGGTCTTTCAAGAGTCATCAACCCAATCAGTAAGACTCTTAAGCACAAGCATATAAAGCGCCGGCTTTTATTCCAAAAAGAGAAAAGTAATAAGGGGAGTAAAAAGACTGAAAGAAACCAAGTCCAAATGTCTTCTCCCAAGATGGTGTTACCCCGAAAGATATGGGAGAAAATTGTAACAAGATTTTCACTCCGTGGTTTGGAATGAGGTGAATTTCTCCCTAAGCTGAGTCAATGTCGTTCGAAGGGTAAGTAATGTTGACCACGGATTGACTGCAAACAGAATTGTGTATGGCGTGACATTCACAGGTAGATAACTATGGCCATGAAATTATGCTAATCGCAATTTTAACAATCCGTGGCTTAGAGGTTCCAGTAAACGAGATTGTTGACTTACCGAAGTCAAGAGAATATCAGATGATATTCTCTTTCCGAAGTCCCAAAGGAAGAGGACTTAAATACAGTGAAAAAGCGCGCTCAAGATTGCGAACATAAAAACAGGGAAAAACCAAGTAATGCGCCACGTCGACAGCAATTAAATATTCCCTGTGTAATAAAACGGATGTCTCTTGTTGGCTTTTGTCACGCAAATTTTATTATTGATCTTGCCCTTACGTTCAACGCAATATCATTAATATCACGTTTAGCATTTATTTTTATTTCAACGTCAAACGAGTAAAGTAAATTTAGTCATCTGGGACTCGGTAACAACGTGAACGTCACCACCGATAAATATATATATTTCTTTAATTTTTTTTTTTGAGCTGACAAGGGTGTTTTCCCTTGTGAATGAAAATGATAGAAATATAGAAGATGAAGTTAGAGCGTGTTATGGCATATTCTGGAAACGTATTTTTTTAGAGTTCTGTGGTATATATAGCAATGATATGTACGAGCACGTTTATTCTATGTACTATCATGCCTATAAGTGAGTTGTCAAAAATAACTGGTGACCGCCACGAACGACTGAAAACGAAACTTTTGAATACGTCAGACTTAGGCTGGGCCGTCATAATCTTCCCGTGGGTAAAATACCGAGAGAAAAACACCGTGATTTCATCGAGAATTCGCCGGAAAATATATTTAAGTCTGCCTCCGCAGACTTCAGCCGCTTTTCCCTCAATTCAAGCGAATGAAAAGCCATCTTTTATCATCTTAGGAAATGGATAGAGAGGAAAGAGACCTTATCAGCGAAAATATCACCCAACTTGTAGAGGATGTTATTCCAGTAGATATGTTGCCTTACCTACCTTGCCTGACAAAGAGTGATAAGGAGAAGATAAAGTGTGAAGAGACAAATCATGGTTCCATGAGAGCTGCACAAGAACTGATAGATAGACTGTTTCGAAGACGAAATTCCTTTCGCCAGTTTATCGAGGCTCTTTGTGAGACTGGATGCCGACATTTAGCGGAACAGCTATGTCCATTACAATTTCACGAAGGTAAGTTAAAATCAGAAATTTTTACATCTACATCACGAGTGCATAAAAATATGACGAGATTAATTAATAACGAAATATGATTTACAAAGCAAAACTTATCCAGGATCTTACTTAAGTATATGTAGTTTTGTTATCAACTCGAAACAATCATTTAAGCCGCCTGAGTCGCGGCAATAAATCGACTCAAAATCCACATTGCTTAGAAAGAAATGCATGACCGAAGCAACGTAGGGATTTTTTATTGAAAAAAATCTAGCAGTTTCTGGTTCCTACATGCCATCGTTTTTCGTAACAATTTCTGTTGCGCTGTACAAAGGTATAATTATATAGATGTACGCGTTCACGGCACCACCATTAGCGCAGTAAACCTAAACTGGCCGAAGTTATTACGACATGTGAGACATCCTTTTCATTTCAGACACCTTTTCACTGTTTTATCTCACACATCCCACTCTCCTAGTATCTAATGTTTCTAAACTTGTGTAATTGCGAAGTGCTTTGTTTGGGATCTCATCTTCCCTTGCTGCGCAAAGCAGCCGTGTGAACTCACTTTCGTTCTCCCAATCGCACAGGAAATGAACAAGAGAACGTCATAAGGGATGAACGAGATGACAGAACGCAAGGAATGATCGTAGCAGATTTCAGTACTCAAGTAAGATATCACTCATGTAAAACTACATTTTATTGCTCATTTCTCGCCATCCTCATGCTCCTCGTAATGATATATATTTATGCGAACCAATGTTAAGACTGCTCTTGGGTAGCACTTTGGTTCGAAGAAAGGTCAAACCAAGAATTTGACTTTACGCTCGATTCTGGAAAGTTTTTCTTGGGAGAGGGAAGGGGGGGAATAAGCGTGGATGATGATAGCGATAAAATACTGACGTTCTTCTCATCTTCATGCCAACAGATTGCACTTGATGACGTCAATCAAGCTTGACTGTGCAAAAAGGAAAAAACAATTCAACCGTAAGTTGTGTGCACAAAGGTCCACATAATAACATTTCTCTAGAAATTCCTATGCTACCATCATATTCTCGTCAAGGTTTATTAATCTGTTAGCCAAGGCTTGTTTTAAAACTGAACTTCCGTTTTCGGTTTCATGCATAACCTTATTGTCTGATTTTCGTTACATATTTGCCATCTGGGCATTAAAAAAACTTATTTCAAGCCCTTTCTAATGATATGGAAATATTTAGAGTAAAATATTGTAACAGTTGTATATATCATATTCATTTTCAGTAGCCGCAGTAGTGCTCTTCGGTGGGCTAGTGCTTTGCAAACAAAGTTCTGGGGAAATGTTTGGTCATGAAACTCTGTGTGGAACGCAGTGTTGATGCACTCTATACCCATGTGCTTGCTTTTACGTGTTTAGTTGCAATTGTCAATTGGAATAAAGATATTTCGGATCAGCCATATGAGGAAACCGATCCATTCCAAGGACACCATTAGGACTGCACAACTAGTTCCAGTAACGTAAGAGTACGTGCCTTTGAACTTGTTACATGTCAACGACAAGAAGAAGATCTTGATATCATTGCTGTTAGTAACTTTTGATGCTTTTGTTGTTGTTTTCGAATCATCAAAGTCAATTGCCTGATTAATTATGTGACATCGATTAAAAAATTCGTTTCTGAGTGACTCTGCTGCAACAGCAGCAATGGAAACTCTCATAAGAAAACTTTTGGTATTAACACAGTTTGGCAAATGTCTAAGTTAATTCTGATGGCATTTGCTAAACTCTTATTGACTATTCCTAGGTAAAGTATTTTGAAATTCCACAGAAAGTTTCCGTACAGATTATGTATGGTTTTTGAAATAAAAGAACTCATGACGTCTTCATCTACAATACAACTGGTTTGAGCAGTTTTTAAGTCGAATGATAATTGTTCTTTAATAAAGAAGCTGTACATATAATAACGTCAATAAATTAGCACCTTTATTGACACTGTGTCTTAGTGTTCCATCATGTTATTTCAATATTAAAATTGCTACGAAATATCTGAACAGTCCCAGTTTGAACCGTGTGTAGACCAGACGAACTCATTTACGAGTGGATTGCAGTATGGACGAGTCTTAGCAGCTGAACTTAGTCTCATTAGAAATCTGAGCATATTCACAGATCCTGCAAGAGGAACATGCGCGGTCCCTGTAATTTATCAAATGTTATCCGATTATATATGTCTTGCTGGTCGGCGGCATATTATTTGTCGTTTTCTTGTTCTCAAACGCTCGTAGTCCTTCACGAAACTGCAACGCTAACCGAAAAGGGTCTGAGCTATTTTCTCAATACTTTTTTATGACTGGAAGCCATAAAGAAGGTCATAACGTAAAAGTCACACTTCATTATATATTATGGCACAGCCAGAGGGTTATTGGTTTCGTGTGATGATTCCCGATAGTTCTCGATTTCATAAACTATTTTATGAGAATTTTAAATAAAGAGACATCGAAACTGAAATACAAGATTTCTTGTTTACTTTTTACGACCACCCTTTTTTAATTTGAACTGAGAATGATAAACGATTCTCTAATTTACACTGAAAAAACTTGTAATAGGATCGTCTTTTCAATGTCACAAAATCTCATATGCTTCAACTATTTGTGGTTCCAAATATCATGCTTGAAAAACCATGATTAGTTTTGGTTGGATGGCCAATTAGCATTTAGAAAATCGCTCACCGTGAACTTACCCGCATTAGACATATAGAAGTAAATAACAAATATTCGACAAAGCCATTTCGAAAATAAATCGGAAGTAGCGTCAGAATTATAATTTTGCTTAATTGGCCACTACTCTGAAGATGGTGATATGTAGAATTAGGTCAGAGGTTCTTGGCTACATCATGTGTACCTAATCCCGATATGTTGACAGAACTTCTGACTACAAGACTGTAGACTGCAAAAATTGATACTCTTGTCGACCTTTATCGGTAGGAATAGGAATATTTGAAGAGGAATATTCGACTGCAAACAAGAGATTTGCTTCTACTAATTCGGTGGAAATATCGAAAGGTAATTGCGTTCTGATTAGTCTCGGGAATGTTGCAAAGAGAAGAAAGACATAATATCAGACATAAACATAAACAACGATCACTCTATGCATATCTATATTTATACTTTACCTCATAGAAAATATGACATGGTTGGTCCTACCCTTTTAAAGTGACAGCTACCTTAAATATCCACTTATACCGATTATTTCTGTGAAGGAATGGAAGAAATACAAGTCTTTAATGGTTTAGGAAAACTATCTACATATGGAAACCGAAAGAGAAAATATTTTCAAAAGATCATGACATCGACCTAAAAATAGCTATTCTCGAAACCTATTTCCCATCTTAATTCCAGAGCAAGAGAAATATCGAAATACATCGAAAGGAGAAACAAAACTTTAATTTCTCTTCTCCTTTATTTTCTGGTATCAGTTTTGAAGAGAAAAATCCCAAAGTCAAATTTGTTCCTATTTGTACGAGTTGAGTAAATATTTTCCCACATGATGGGGTCAGGAATTAGCATATCGACGATGGGAAAAAGCCCGGTTATTAAAACTCTCGAAAATGATCATGTAATGTATTACTCAATAAATAATTCCTACGAAAAATAGAGTTATGTCCTTGAACTTTCACTATAAGTTTCACAAGTATGGCAGTTTTTTCGACATCGTTTCAATAGTATTTCGAGATGTAACAACATTCGAACAAAACAGATCGAAATCGAAACCAAAACAGCTCGTATCGCGGTTTCCATAGACTGAAATTTTATATTAATGAAATTCAAGCTGGGAAAGTACCTTTTCCGGACGTTTCAAACTAAGTATATTCAGTGGCTACAACGGTAGATGCATTGGAAGAAAGAATCATGACATACCACATCCCTTGATTTTTTTAAGACCAAGGCTTTCGTAAAATCAGCTGAGGCAACTTTTGATAGGCTTTCTCCGCTCCGAAAGCCGTTTATTCATCCCGAAAACAAAAAGGAAAAGCGAAATTTGAGCTTTGATTACATAGCATTTTCCGAGAATTTTGCGCGTGACTTCCGGGAATTTCCTGTTTTCTGCGGGTTCATGAATTTATTATGCAGCGATGATATAAATACGATCGAACAGGGAGCCATTAGCTTAAGACGGAGATTCGCGCTTCATTTTACAGTTTTTCCACTGAGAAAAAACAATGAGACCACCGTACACGAAGTCTGACGAGAAAAAGATCTTGGATACACGACTGAAAGACTTTATGGGAGAAGTCAATCCAGTTGATTTGCTTCCATATTTGCCTTGTTTAGAGCAGATGGATAAAGAGGCCATTGAGGCTAAACAGAACAATATGGGACCAACAACGGCGAATCAAATTCTTGTAGATCGGCTCAAAAGACGGAACAAAGGTTTTGTGCAGTTTGTAAGAGCCCTGAGGACATCTGGAAACGAACACACTGCCTTGTTAGTTGATCCTTACTACATTTATCCAAGTAAGCCAGTTCTTTGTTTAGTATTACTTTGATGTTATTCGAATTCACAATTGCTTGACTACATTTTTTTCTGCCGGAGACTTTTTGGCTTTAAACTCATTTTGCGCGGTAGAATTATAAGCTTCCAAATCCAAAGTTCCTGTGAGTTCGGATGACTATGCCTTTAAAACGGAATGAAACCGTCAATTATTTCTCAGACTGTGACAGATTATCTCACCGTTTCATCGCATCATAATTGCCTTTGTTTGGCCCTTTCATGTCTTTGGAAGTCTATGATTCCTCCTTTAAGTCTGATTTACGAGACTCAAAGTACCTCTTTATGTTTACGTCGCCATGTCCGCCATTATAAGGGCTAAAACAATTTGCAAATTAAGCGTTCTGACACCATTGTACGTTCAGCTGCAAAAGATAAATGGACTCTGGACTGGACTCTGGACTTTACCCTGGACTGGACTCTGGACTGGAATCAGGACTTTACCCCGAACTGGACTCTCTTGACTCTGTACTGGATTCTGAGTTCCTCTCTGGCCTAGACCCGAGCCTTTTTTATTTATATTGCTACAAATAGATGTATTAATATTATAATTTTAAAGATAAGTCTAGTCCAAAGTCCAGTCTAGAGTTTATTCCAGCTGGCCAGACTCGTGTTTAGTAGTTTGCAGATGTCAAAATTGGATTAATCGACCATCAAGCACTATTTATGTCATTTTCTCGTGGCTTTACGAAGTGAACAGCGAACGGATAAAATCCGAGTCCGATATAAAAATTTTTACCTTCATCCTCTTGTTTTTATTGTTTCCTGCTTCACTTCAGAGGCTTTTGATGCAATTATTTCATATTTTGTGGGGTCTTGAAGGAGGCTAATTCCACTTGGTTTGATATTGGAAGCTCAAGAGCAGAATGAATGGTTCCCCCTGGATTGTTCAATTGTGTCTTTATGTTAAATCATATGTAATTAAGCTGTTTGACAACGGTCAAAACATATTTACTAACAATATGAAATTGATTGATTATCATCTGAACGCAGTTGACGAAGGGGACGATGAAATCGCTGTGCCGAATGGCTCAGAGATCGGTTATAAAAGGATTGGAACAGCAATTGGTAAGCTATTTCAGTATGTAATAATTTTTGCATTAATTGATAAAAGGACACAGAGGGATGTGACCATTTGTAAATGGGGCAGGGCGAGAATAATTCTTTGAGGAAGGTGGCATAAGTCAACGTGGAACTCCACCCCCACCCCTTTCCACCCTAGAAGGCCCTTGCAGTGCAATGTTATGTCACTAACCTAGACAAACTAATTGCATACAGCATATTATAATTTATTTATTTCAAAATAGGAAATAAATCATTTTTTTCCCATAATACTTTGTTACGGAAATACGGACCGGGGATTCTTTTTCTCGACAAAAGACGCTTTTGTATAATTTGGTCTTTGCAATTACATCGTTGTGTCATACTAACTTAGGGCTGAATAAAAACTTGCTTTTTTCGGTCCTTAAATGCTCGTCTTGTCGGTTTTTTTTCCAGATGTTATTATTAAAGGTAACCTATCAGCAGAGACAAGTGGGGATGAGGAAGAGCCTGAAAGCTGTTATGCAGAGGAAAAGTATTTGGCTGAACTTTACGAACAACATTCATCCAAAGAAAGCAAACAAATGCGCAAGGAACTCCAGAAGGTATGTTAAAAAAAATTTAATTGTAAGTCCATGGAAGCGCAGATCTAACACTAGAAATGGTGTACAATGAAACCTGTTTTAAGTGAAAGGCGCAACACCTTATGTCTCAGATATTTTTTTTCTGAAGTTTGCAATTAAATCAAACCTCTGAGAAAAATTCACACTTATTGTTTCGATTTTTAACTTAGCTTCCTAACTTGAGGAAACATCACATCCATCAGTCAAAACGAAATTGTGGAATCTCACTGACTGACGCGAGTGAACAACTAAATCAGCACTTCAGTCTTTAAGCCTAAGTCTTACTTTCAACTTGTGGGTAAACATCATAATTACGTATCAGTTGGAGACCAAGATACGCTTTCTTCTCCAAACTTAATCTGATACCCTCAAGTATGCTCAATTTTAATGGCTGTGTATTTCTTTCAGTATCTTCCCCAAGGAGCTGTTTTTGTTCATACTGCTAAAGGTTCCATCATAACCACTATCCGCTTGTCAACAAAAGAAGCAGCCGTAAAGCTGTGGGATATGTATACTGAAGGAGAATTCCAAAAATCGTTACAACATGTCTTAGTGGACGACACTTTTAAGAAACATCAAAGGATCCCAGAGAAACCGCTGAAACTGAACCTCAGTATAAGCCAAGAGCGTTTTGTACAAATTCAGGAAAAACTAGCCGGTAACTAATAAACAACACCATAGAACTTTTCATTATTCTTGCTGCTGAGTTTTTTTCATCTTGTGAACATAGAATACTAACGGGACACTTTGACGTTTAATTAACTTCAGGAAAGGTGATCACGAGTTTCGCTGTGTTAAATACACCTAGTTGGGAAAATACTATTATGGTCGTTTTTATGGTTGTCACATAAGTACAAGGCCCCGGTCATCCCTCCAGTGTTAGGTTTCTGCTGTTAATTGCCATCCTCTCTCACAGGAATGGTGCGGTGCTCGTTGCCGAAATGAGCTGTTCGTCCTTCAGAGGAACAGCACCCAAACGGTTAGCGAAACCTGTAAAAAAGCTTTCGAGTTAGTTGTCTTAAAGTTCCGAATGAGTTGGTATATTGAAGCAACTTATGCTTGTTTTCTGGCAGAGATCGAAGAAGAGCAAGAGAGAGAGGAGAAAATGCGTAGCACCTTGTCAAGCAAGCAAGGTACACTTCAAATTCGTTATATGATGATCATTACTTTAATGGAACTGGATCATTGGATGTTGATAAGTTCATTCAATCATGAAGACTTACGGTGTCAATGGTAGTCAATTACATGCACGTTTGATTGAAACGACCATGCGGTAAATATGATGGAATAACTGTGATAAATCTTGTAGAAGGTACTATGAAAAATTATATAGATGCCAGATATTAATTTAAAAATGAAAAGTCGATAATTGCTATTTGATGCATATCACACGAAAACATAAACATTTACCTATGTTTATTTATTTTTAGAGGACAGTGTTACTGACGATGATGGATCTATACCTGAGGTTGAAGAAGAAATCGACATTCCACCCGGTAAGATTGCATTCTTACTCTGAAATTCATCTGATTTAAAAACCGGAGCGTATTGCGCCTCGAAACTTAATCTTTAATTCAAGATTCAGATGCCAATTTGATCTTAGTGATGCTGTAATATGATCTATTTATCCATTTCTAAAAGTGTATCTGGGAAACAAGGCCAATCCCTTTAGCGTATGTGAGCTGGAGCTTAGAGAGTACCAGAAGGAATTGGCAGATCCAGCGCTGGAAGGCAAGAACACCATTATCTGTGCTCCAACCAACAGTGGAAAAACATACGTGGCTATAGAAATAGCTAAAAACCATCTTGAGTCATTCAAAGCAAAGGGTAAGTTGCCTTCTTATATCATATCTCATAATCGTTATGTCAGTCCATCACCCTGGTAGATAACACAGTTGATCATGAAAAGACTATAAAACAGTAAATTGTCTCTTTATAAGCGGATTCAATAAATAGAATTCTGAGGGCGTTTAAAGAGCTTTGCTTTATATTCTTTTCCCACACATTTAGAGATACACGAATTCACGCATAACGCATATGAGAAAAACGATTCCTTCACGAGAATATTCAAGGTTGAACTTTGTTCTCTTTGCAAGTGAAGTGTTACTCTATTGTCAACGATAGCTTTCGCATTACATATTGGGTGAAGTCATTCCGTTTCCCCCTTATGCCGATCCAATAATGAGTTATCTGCAGCAATCAGTAATTGGTCGGATTTCAACCAGATACCAACTCGAATTTTTTTAATTGGACAGTGTCCCAGGAACTAACACTCTGGCCCACTGATTGAAGATCAGGCCATTAGGTTTTTTTCTTGAGCGAGACATCTACTCCTCTCCTTAGCATCACAACTCTAAGTCGCCTCATCATTTTTACTCTTTTTACTCCTTAGCACCTACAGACAGCAGCCTTAGCAAAAAACCAAAGGTTGTCTTCATTGTGAGCACTGTGAACCTTGTTTCTCAGCAAAAGGAGCGGTTTGAACTCTACCTGAGAGACAAGTATTCCGTGGTTGATATTTCTGGGGCAAACGCAACCGAGATCCCCCTTAAGTATCTTCTACAAAACCATGACATCATTGTTTTGACTGCCCAGATACTTGTCAACGCTCTTACTTGTAAATCTAAGGAGGAGCAAGTAAATTTGGAAGATATCAGTCTTTTACTATTTGACGAGTGCCACCATGCACATAAGGAGCATTCCTACAACCGAATCATGGAAAGGTATCTTGCCTTGAAAAAGCAGCCTCGAAACCAAGGATCGCTGCCACAGGTAACTGACACATCATATTGTTCTTCGTGGCGTTTCTGAAAGCATAGAGGCAAGTCTGCACTGAGGCGAAGAGTCATTAGGCCCAAGTGAGCAACGAATTTTTCCTTCTCCTTTTTTCGATTTGAACAGAAAAAAAAAGAGAGAAAATTTAAGGTACTACCCACCTTTCAAAAACCGTATTCCAAATGTTTTGATCGTAGGGAATGGATAGGGTTCATTCCATTTTATTATCATAAAGCTAAACTGACAATACGTAATCTTTTAGCCAGTCGCAGCAAAATCTAATGATGCAAGGACCCAATTTGAGCTAAAAAAAAAAAAAACACAAGTTCACGACTAGATTGCGATTATCGTTAGGTTTACATCAAATCGGTGGCAACACGTACATGTGTTTTTGAGTCATGATTACTTCCGAGTTCCAAAAGTCAATGATTTTTTTTTGACGCTGAGTAATCCAATCTCCTTTATTTTGATTTTTAGGTTGTTGGTTTTACTGCATCGCTTGGTACAGGAAAAGCTAAAAGTGTCGAGAAAGCAGAAGAACACATACTTCTTGTTTCTGCCAACTTAGATGCAGAAGTTATTTCAACTGTGAAAAAAAATCAGTCAGAGCTCAAAAAGTTCGCAAACGTTCCTGAACGAAATGTATATCAACTTTCAACGACTGGAAATGATCCATTTGAAAAGATAATTTCACAGGTAATGAGTAGATGGGTTGTTATTTAGAAACAAGAATGTATGAGGAGAGCTCTCCTCATCTTCCTTCATGTTTTTTAGGTTATGAAGAACATCGAAGCTAAAGTGAGAGGTAGAAGAGGAGAAGAATCAACTTCTGCTCCCCCGGATGACAGTAAGTCATGTCAGCAGTATCGCCAATGGGTGGAAGAGCTCTCCAAAAATTCTGTTGCAGATGCGGACCGTTACCTTATAACATTTGCAGAACATCTCCGCGAGTATCACATCGCCTTGACAATCAACAAAAGCACAACTATGAAAAATGCTAAGAAACGCCTTGAGAAGTATTTTGAATCCTTGGATAGGGAAAAATTCCTACCTATTGACAAAAGTTTGGAACGTCTGTTTCAGTGCGCAATGGAGATTTTGGATAAGAATGTAGCAGAGCACGGTGAGCCCGAGAATCCATTCTTAATGAAACTGAAAGAATTGCTCCTTCAACACTACAAAGGTGATCCTGGGATAACTGGGGAAAGCGACCAGGAACGACCAAGCGAAGAGGATGACAATTTTGCAGAACACACGCCAGACAATAAAACTTCTGATAAAAGCAGTGGTGAACATAAAGACTGGATAGGGCCTAAAGGTATTCTGTTCACAAGAACACGAGAATCAACGTCAGCCCTAGAGGACTGGATTAAAGAGGATGAACAACTGAGGGCTGTTCTAAGGCCAGAGGCTCTTGTAGGCAGTGGAGATGGCAACAGTAAGTTTAATCGCGGATAAATTTTTTAAAGTTCAAATTCTAATATGGTACCATTACATACTGCAAAAGGAAAAACAACCATAGCGGTTATTCTATAATAGTCTTTCCAACATCTTTAAGACATGCCTTTTTTTTCTCTGGAAATCTCCATGATTGGCGTTTAATTTTGCTTCTTTGCATGATGAGTATTTAAATGAAAGAAGGATGAATATCTTGTTGGAGCAAGGAAAAATATTTGTACATGACAAGATGTTTTCCTTTCCTAAATCTTAGTTGGAATGACACAGAATGAGCAAGAGCGAGTAATCAGTCGATTCCACACCGGAGAGAAGAACCTTCTTCTAGCCACTAGTGTGGCAGAGGAAGGTTTGGACATAAGAGATTGTAATTTTGTCATCCGTTATGATATGATGGGCAACGAGATCTCCAGTGTGCAGTCACGTGGCCGTGTCAGGTAAAATTCATTTATCTCTTGCTTGCATTCGTGCGCTTATTACGTCTATATAGATGCCGAAAGTTTTTACAGATCTGCGTTCACCCTGAAGTTAGCACACTAGACTAAGGATCAAGAGGCATTTGTTTGATTCTTGACCGATGTCACAGTATCTGTCCCACGACAAGACAGACTTACTCTCCACCAAGGGGTGTACAATTAATGGTACCATAACATTATCATTATCGTACCTGACATTGACTGGCACGCCACTGAAGCGGTTTGTTTGTGTTTTGTTTTTTTTTAAAGGATTTTGCCGTGCTTTCAGTTCCCGTCGGTTCACAAGATTTATGCCGGTTTCGTCAGTTTCAGTTTCACATGCCTCTGGCGGTTTGTCTTCTTGGACATGAAATTAATTTTAGAGTTTTGTTTGTATTTGAAAGCAATACCTAGAAGAAACTGCTTTAAGTACATTTCATATTGTCTCAAAGAACTTTGGTCTAGCATGTTTATTTTCCATTAAATTGCATTCACAACTATAGTAACTTTACCTTCGTTCGTGAGTTCTCGAGGTGTCCTTCTATTTTATCAAAAGTTTTCTTTTTTCTTTATTTTTTTCCTCTTTTACTAGGGCAGACGAGGGTATGTATAGCGTGCTCGTGAGTGTGGATTCTGGAGCATTGAAAAGGGAAAACACAAACCGTTTTCGAGAAACCCTCATGGTTGAAGCCCTAAGCAAGGTTCAAAACATTTCCGAAAAAGACTTTCAGAGGAAAGTAAGTACCAGAAAAACATCAGGTTTGTATTCTAATAAAGCAAACTCCATTCAAAAGATAATGAAATAGACGAAATAGGGTTCCCTTGGCTGGCTTTAGTGGGAGTAACAAATTGCAAAGGCTGCGAGAGTTTTTTCTTTAATTAATTTCAGCAAGAGCGAATGTCAGTTTCTTTGAGAAGAAGAGACAGAGTAGGGTTTCCCTTGAACAAAGAGCTTTCGGAAGTAAAATGTGTGTCGACTGAATGGAATTATCTTAGGCTAGAAATAGTCGAGGTGGAGATTTCCATTGACAAGCCTCTCAGTTTTGAATCTAATTTTCTATTTGGCACCATTCTTAAATGATTTTTTCAATGTATTTTCGCATCTATGAAGGTAAAGGCTATACAGGATAAGAACTTTCGGGATCGCAAGCTGAAGAAGGGTGTAATGGCCTTGAAAAAGTCAAAGCCTGTACCCGATGATGTCAACTTCCATTGCCGGAAGTGCAATGAAGCCGTTTGTCAGGCACATGATATCCGACGCGTAAGAGAGACCTTCTATGTGATCATCAACAGTGATGTACGGGAGTCCAAGGTAGACGCACTTTCTTTGACCGCAGTAAAACATATGTAGTCGTTATTTGCTTTGATTTTGTTTAGCTTCATTTCAAACAGTTTACATAAAAAGTTACAAGCTTCACGGTTTTGGTGACATGATTACATATACTGCACATGGTCTATTAATGCTTGGACGCTAACAAGACTAAGAGGTGAAGGAAGAAAGTAGCATCGTCACAGATTTAGAGAGCGGTACTTCTCATTTTAGCAGTGTCGTGGTCAGTATTTGTAGCCTCTCAGTCTAGTGCTAACTTCCTAAGTTGCCTTGAATAATGAAGTTGTGCAGCTCCCCTCTTTTATTCTTACTCTCGAAGTTACTGTGGAAAAAGCAGAATTGTTTAAAAAAAAAAAACACTTCCTAAAAATTAATGAGCTTGCTTGATAACGAATCTCTCGCTCTTATATTTGCAGGTGGTCATGAAGATCTGTCCTAGTCCCAAGAAAATTGATGATGTCGAATTTAACAAGAAAATCTATTGCAAAAAGTGTGGTCAAGATTGGGGTGTGACCGTTCGTATCAATGATGTGGAGTGGTTGTGCATCAAGATTAGTAGCTTCGTTGTTCAGTTCCCGGGGCCAAATCCTCAGCGAATTATGAAAAAGAAGTGGAAAGATCTCCCTTTTGGCATTGAAGAGGCAACATTTGAAGAGCTCTGGCAACAAGCTGAACATGAGGATGATGATTTCTTCGAAGATGATCTCAGCGATTTGCTTGATTGACTTGGTCGCATATGGCAGTGCAATGCTTCTTGTTAATTTTGAGATGTCAGTTAGTTATCACAAACTTTGAATTTGTTGCCTAGTTGATGCGATACGTTATGTTAGAATAAGAAAGGAAAGCCCTGGATGTTAGTAATCTAATTTTGTCGTGGAAATACGAGGTGTGACCAGCACTCTTGTTTAACTTTTAAAGTAATTATCGCCTAAGGGGTTAGTCGTACGATCAATAAAAATTGTTATTGACATTGGTCCCAGTCAGTTTCATCAGTTCAACTAGGGAAAGTTCATTTCACACCCAAAATAAAAGCGAGGAGTTGATTTGGAGTCAATACACTATCGTTTAGGATCTTAAAGTGAGAGAGTTTCTATTTCTATCCATTGTGTCACTTTTTATTGGCAATTACTGATGGTTCCTGCCATATAATTAGTTCACTGATGGAGACAAGATGATACAACATTTGATATAACCATCTACCCAGTATAGACCGATGGAGTTGAACCTCTCTTGCTTACAAGCTTGGTCTCGGGGACTCAGGCCTCAAAAAATATTTTGATGCTATAAATAGTTGGAAAGATGTCGCCCAACTTCCGATCTGAAAGAGAAAAATAGCGAAATCGGATCGTGCGTACCGAAGTGATTTATTTCCGTCTTCGCTAGTTCTTAGTATAGTGAATAAGGAATTTTGGCACACGGTATGGTAACTTAAGATGGTTTTTAGGGACTACTGAGTCAGTTCTAAATTTTTTATCATTGTAATCTATAGCTGATGGGTCAATATTGAAACTGCTAAGAAATATCTTAACAGGCCTTGTTTGAACCGTGCAGACCAGACGAACTCATTCGCGAGTGATTTGCAAAAAGGACGCGTCCTAGCCGCTGAACATAGTCCCATTAGGAATCTGAACATATTCACAGGTGTTACAAGAGGAACTTCCGCGGCTGTTGTAATCAATCAACTATTATCGATATATGTCTTGCTAGTCGGCAGCATATTATTTGTCGTGTTTTCGTTCTCAAACGCTCACAGTCCTTCACGAAACTATAACGCTAACCGGAAAGGGTCTGAGCTATTTCTCAATAGTATTTTACGACTGAAAGTCATAAAGAAGGTCATAACGCAAAAGGCACACTTCATTATTTATTATGGCATAGCCAGAGGTTTATTGGTTTCGTGTGATGATTTTCGATAGTTCTCGATTTCAAAAACTTTTTAATGAGAATTTCTTTCAGTTTCACATGTCATGAGTCGACTAACATGTTTTAAACGAAAATACATCGAGACCGAAATAAAAGATTTCTTGTTTATTTTTTACGACAACCCTTTGTTCTTTGAACTAAGAATGATAAACGATTTTCGATTAACACTTGTAATGGGATGCCTTTTTAATGTCACAAAATCTCGTATGCCTCAACTATTTTTGGTTCCAAATATCATGCTTGAATAGCCGTGATTGGTTTTGGTTAGACGGGCAATCAGCATTTAAAAAAGCCACCCACCGTGAACTTACCCGCATTAGAGAGAGAATTAAATGACAAATATTCAAGAAAGCTATTTCGAAAATAAATCGGAAGAGGCGCCAGAAATATAGTTTGCTTAATTGGCCACTACTCTGAAGATGGTGATATGTTGAGTTAGGTCAGAGGTTCTTGGCGACATCATGTGTAGCTAAGCCCGATATGTTGACAGAACTCCTGACTACAAGATTGAAATTGATACTCCTGTCGACCTTCATCAGTAGAGTAGCAATATTTACATCGACTGTGAATACGAGATTGGCTTCTACTTTTTGGTCGAAGTGTCGATAGGTAATTACGTTCTAATTAGTTTCGAGAAAGTTGTTCTTATCGAGAAGCAAAGAGAAGAAATGCGTAATATCAAACATGTAAACAATGATCGCTCTGTGCAATATCTATACTGATTTATATTTTCCCTTCTAGAAAATTACCGGTACGTGGTTGGTCCTAACCTTTTTAAAATGATATTCACCTTAAATATCCCGCACTTATACCGATGAATTCTGTGAAGGAATGGACGAAATACAAGTCACTAATGGTTAAGGAAAACTATCTACATACGCATATGGAAACCTAATGAGAAGATATTTAAATTTTCAAAAGATCATGACACTGACCTAATGTTTATCAAGTAAAAATAGCTATTCTCGAAACCTATTTTCCCATCTTGCTTCCAAAGCAAGAGAAATATCGAAATACATCGAAAGGGAAAACGAAACTTTAATCTTCCCCTTCATTTCCTAGTACCAGTTTTGAAGAGAAAAATTCCCAGAATTAAATTTGTCCCTGTTTGTAAGAATTGGTAAATGTTGTCCCACATGATGCAGTCGAAAATTAGCATATTGACGATGGGAAAAAGCCCTGTTATTAAAACTCTCGAAAATGAGAGCATGTGATATATTACTCAATGAGTAGTTTTTGCGAGAAATAGAGTTATGTCTTCGAACCTTTATCATTAGTTTCACAAGTGTAGCAGTTTTTTCGACATCGTTTCAATAGTATTTCGAGATGTAATAACGTTCGTACAAAACAGATCAAAATCGAAACCAAAACAGCTCGTATCGCGGTTTCCATAGACTGAAATTTGATATTAATGAAATTCAACCAGGGAAAGTACCTTCTCCGGGTGTTTCGTCAAACGAAGACTGCTCAGTGGCAACAATGTAGATGACCTCGCAAGAAGCATGACCAACTCTAGCCCTTTTCTTCCATGGACCAAGACGTTTGTAAAATGAATTCGAAAGGAAGCATTTGATAAGCTTTCGCTTCTCAGATAACGTTTTATGTATTCTTGAAAACAAAAGGGAAAAGCAAAATTTGGTACTTTGTTTACGTAGCGTTTTCCGAGAATTTCGCGCATAGCTTCTGGGAATTTCCCAGTTTTTTTGACAGGTTCATGAATTTATTATGCAGAGACATATAAATAGCGAGCCCGTTAAGCAAGGAGTCATTCGCTTTCGACGGAGTTTCGAGTCAAATTTTATGAACTTCTGGGATCTGAAACAACAATGAGACCCTACGAAAAAAAGATTCTAGAGGAACGTCTGAAAGATTTTATGGAAGAAGTCATACCAGGTGATTTGCTTCCATATTTGTCTTGTTTACAGCAGACAGATAAAGAAGCTATCGAGGCGACACAGAGCAACAAGGGACCAACAACGGCGAATCAAACTCTTGTCGATCGGCTTAAAAGACGGGACAAAGGTTTTTCGGAGTTTGTACGAGCCCTGAGAAAATGTGGAAGCGAACACACTGCTTTGTTGTTGGACCCGTACTACAACTATCCAAGTAAGCCCTTATGCTCTATGAGATTGTATTTTAATAACCCTTTTTGCTCGCATGGCTATGGATTTTTTCGGAGACTGTTTTGGCTCTACAAAAGCATTGTTTTAATACGCCGGGTTACACGATTAGTTATTTTTGTTATCGAGATTTACAGAAGTTACCTGACGTACACTTATTTTACGGTCTATGAACGATAACGTCACTCTTTCATGTGATCTTTAGCCTCGTCTTAGGCTCGTGTCAATATGTTGTTCTGAAGTTGGACGTATCCCGCTTAAGATCATCCGGGCAGGAGGAATGCAAACTTTGCTTTCTTTCGTTAGATCCCATGAGTCACTCGGTTATGTACGAGGATGTAACTCAAAGCTCATTAACTACGTGTGGGAGTTCAAAACTACATATTTACTTGAGCTAGTGGTAATCATTGTCGTTAAAAAATTCATATCACTAACCGTGAAACTCCATCGAATTGAGACACCTACGTGGTAAGTCATTTCCACTGGACTTTACTAAAACTTGGCTCTAATTTCAATCTTCTAAAAGTTCGGTCAAATCTTATCCAGACACGAGCAAGTCATGATAAACTTTCAACGTGTCATTCGGCTCTGTTTACACATACTCGTATCCAGGTTGTTTGCGCTTACACTAATTTAACAGTGTCACGTGTCTCAGCATTTGGTCAGTATATTTGCATCTCAATGGACCACGGGGAGACACGGTCACTTCACGGTACATCGCTTCCTTCTCAGCGTTTGCTTGCTTCTACCAAAGATAAATATTCGTAAAAAAAATCATCTTAATTCAGTTGACGCAGGGGATGATGAAGTCGCTGTCTCAGAGGGCTCAGGAGTTGGTTACAAAAAGATTGGAACAGCAATTGGTAAGTGACATTTAATCATAATATTTTTGCGTTTATTTTATAAGATTTTTCGGGCAAAGCAGAAACATTTTTTTCTTCTTATGACGCTTAGATTCAATTTGTCTGTAATTATAATTAGTTCCGTAAACCTTCGCATTTACTCCTCCATTCCCTTATACGAGGGTCTCAATGGGGAAGGGGGGGATTGGCTTAGGGCTGACGTTAATCAGGAAGATATTTCTTTGATGACTTTGAGTTAATTAATTAAAGTTTTTCATTATTTCATCTAAATTATCAACTATTTTTATGTCCATTCAGTCTTCCTTTGACTAAGTGGAGTAAGGCGTGTTTCCATGACCTCTAATAATAATTCATGATCAGTTTCAAGGCATGGTGTGAAACAATACCTTACTTTCTACTGTTACACGCGCAAACCACATAAGCAGAATTTTTTATAGACCTGATTCCTCAAGCTGGATTCGTCAAGGCGGTTTTCAGCAGCGTTCCATAGGTCGACCAGTAACATTATATTCGAGAACGTCTTTATATCGTTGATATATATATATCAGCAATTCATATATTTCAATTTACACGACATGAATCATGGCAGTTGAAGTAGAAGGAATCATGAATTTTCGTATTTAAAACTTGACAATCATGGATCTCGAGATACAGTTATAGAATGAATCATGACTATCAAAAAAGTCGCTTAGTCTTTTTTAAGCTGTTCTTTTTCTGATTTTTTTTAAACAGATGTTTCCTTCAGAGGAATTCTATCATTAGAAACCAGTGCGGACGAGGAACAAACCGAGAGCGGTTCCGATCTGGAGGAGTATTTGGCTGGCCTTTTCGGGAAACAATCGTCTGAAGAAAGCAAAAGAATGCGACGAGACCTACAAAAAGTATGTTTTAGGAAAATGTGTGTACCACAGCAGACCTGTTATCAAAAATCATTAAACTGAGTAAAACCTGAATCAGTTGGACCCCATATAAAAGCGGACGAGAAAAATACTTCTCTCCATTTTTTCTTTTGGTGGAGCACAATTTGAAATAGAAGCGAACATTTCAAAACATTTTTTCATATCACAGGAGAAATAACGAGTTTGGAAACAGTCAGTGTTTACACGTCTTAATTAGTAATTCAATTTTCCTCTTTTTTCTCCTTTTTCTCTCAACACTATAAAACAAGGCCTGTCGGCCCAGTGTTCGATAGCAAATTAGCAAAGCGTGCGTCTGCGGCTTTTGCTTCTTTCCTCTAAAGAGGTGAGAAATTTTTTGAGAAATCTGCGCACTGTAGAGGTTGTGTCAGAGATGGTCAAGTAATATCACATCATGTCATGTTGTCTCAAGTATAGCAAACATAAGTCGAATGGATGCAGTTTTCCAAGAACCACCTTGACACGAGGAAAGGCATTTCCTTGAATTTGAGTCACGCATTAGTTAGGATTAATTAACGCAACATTACGTTTACTCACCATTTGGAGATGACATAAGCGTTTCTAGTCAAAACTTGTCCACAAAAAGCTCAATTGTGGATATACCTCTATGATTTTTTTTTTTCAGCATCTTCCTCAAGGAGCTGTTTTTGTTAACACTGCTAAAGGTTCCATCATTGCAACTTTCCGCTTGTCAACGGTGGAGGCAGCCAAGAAATTGTGGGAAATGTACAGTAAACAAACATTTCAGGACAAATTAAAAGAGGTCCTGGTGGAAAGCACTCTGAAAAGACACCAAAAGCTCCCAGACAAGCCGCTCCAACTAAATATAACGTTTAGCGAAGATCGGTTTAAACAAATTCAAAAGAAACTCAAAGGTAGTTAACAACACTTCGGTAAAACTTTTAAATACCGTACTGACCATTTAATTTTGTCCAATGTTGCTAGAATATTGCAAGACGAAAGACCTCGGCTCGTAGTAATTCAGTGAACGTGGTGTTAGGTTTCGGTGTACGATGTATATTTAAGCAAGTTGGTCAAGGTTGCGAATAGAGTTTAAGGTTGTAAGGGGAAAAAACATGTCACGCTTTCTAGTAAGACTTTGACTGTAATGTTACGTTAATGACAGGACTCCTTTTTTAACGGATGTTGAGCGTTCTCAGTTACGAAAATGTGTTATCAGTACTCTATATGTGAGAAGGGTAGCGACACTGGCGATTGGCGTGAATCTAAAACATTTTGACAAGCACGTTGAGGGGTCAAGTCCCTTCCCGCTGCATGGGTTGAATGAAAGTAAGTTTTAAAAGTGTTGATGAAGACAATGTACTGATATACCTTGTCGCAATGTCGTTGATCGGCAGAGATCGAGGAAGAGCAGGAAAGAGATGAACAAATGCGCAACACTTTGTCGAGCAAACAAGGTAATGATTCAAAATCCGATATGCTACGTTGTCATAGAAATATCATACGACATTCTTTCTTCATAACATGTAACAAGGGTTACGTAATATAAAAGTGAAACGTAACAGTACGATTCTACGTTTCGAAATATTGATGAAAGCCCTATGGCGAAATGAAACATTTTTGGAAACGATAAAACTCCTAGTTTACTAAAAAAGCTAAGTTAACTACCTCCAAATCAGATTTTGCGATTGCATGTGATAAATCAGTAATTTGAAAATGCTTTTGAAACTTAAATACGGTGATGCATTCACTCAACTTTGCTGTTTCTTTTTACATTCAGAAGGCAGTGCTGCTGAAGATGATGGATCTCTCTCTGAAATAGACAGAGACGAAATAGACGAAATCGTCATTCCACCTGGTAAGAGTTCTCTATTACGCTGTTGTTTGACGGATACAATGTGTACAAAGAGTGAGATAAGATACAGAACTTCCCGTATGTGATTCAGTATGCGAACTTGATCCCCCCACATATGATTTACTTTCCTTTCAAATAGTTTACTTGGGAAGCAATGCCAACTCTTTTAACATTCGTGAGCTGGAGCTTAGAGAATACCAGAAGGAATTGGCAGCTCCAGCATTGAAAGGCAAAAACACCATCATCTGCGCCCCAACCAACAGTGGGAAGACGTATGTGGCCCTAGAAATAGCTAAAAAACACCTAGAGTTTTTCACACAGGACAATGAAGGTAAGCGACTCCATATAGAGATCTTATCAACTTGTAGAAATACGCGCTTCTTTCTCGATCAAACATCCAACTCGGCTTTTCCAATTAAACGCTTTGGATCATTCCAAGTTGGCATAAGGGTGGCTGCGATCTATAAACCACTGTTTTTTCCTTCATCCAGCCGTAACTGACTATCACTGAGTCTTCTCAGAGTTTAAATCAGTAATAACAACTGTAGTTGCTCTTTCGCACAGACGTAAATTAAGGCCGGATGCCACATCAGATGGCAGGACCTTAGTGAAACGCCTTCGCTGCTAATCTCTACAGTAACAGTCGTGTCCGGCGATTACAATAGGCCGGCCTCAAACTGGTTCTGATGTTTGATTGAATACAGTAGTTATGGGATCATTCTATCTCGAAGTACCGTATTAAGAAATCCGTCAAGTAACGCTAATTTTGCCAGCGGGACTGCCGTAACTCTCGATAACATCAACTACTTGGTGATTGCCTCAAGGTTCTGCTGTACTCCACATCGAACGATCGGGGTTAGGTAGTTAGGTTAGGCCCATTTCCGGATTACCTTTGACCTCTTTTTCAAATCGAGTCTTGTTGCTCATCCTCTCATATGTTAGAAGTTTTCATCCATATGCAGACCTAACTCATGTTCATACGAATGATTGACCACCAGGCCTCGTTTTGAGAAAAGGGGCCAAAGGTAATTCGGAAATAGCTTGCATAACTTCCATTGGAAAATGTAGAGGTAGTTGAGGGAGGGCTAACCTACGTCTCCTCATCACTTCACCCTGAAGAATTCGGAATAAGCTCAATCATTTATGGCACTTTAGCTTCTCGGCCTTTTTTTAATCCCTCAACAGCCACAGACAGCAGTAATAGAAAACAGCCGAAAGTGGTCTTCATTGTGAGCACAGTGAACCTCGTTTCTCAGCAAAAGGAGCGTTTCGAAGCGTACCTGGGAGACAAATACCCCGTGATTGACATTTCTGGTGCAAACGCTACTGAGGTCCCCCTGAAGTATCTTCTACAAAGCCATAGCATCGTTGTCTTGACAGCACAGATGCTTGTCAACGCTCTGAACAATAAAAGTAAAGAGGAGCAAGTGAATCTCCAGGACATAAGTCTTCTGCTTTTTGACGAGTGTCACCATGCACACAAGGAGCACTCCTACAACAGAATCATGGAAAGGTATCTGGCCTTTAAAAAACAGCCGCGACATCAAGGCCCCTTGCCACAGGTACAATCGACAGGAGATTAAAATTTTTCTAATCTAGATCTTACTCGTTTTTTTTAATATCGTTATTATTTACTGCGAGGTTTGAACTTTTCTTTGTTAAGGTGGTTCTTTTTATTTCTACGATGTTTAGGTTGTTGGTTTCACTGCCTCACTTGGTACAGGAAAAGCCAAGAGCGTCGAAAAGGCGGCAGAACACATTATTCTCCTTTCAGCCAACCTAGACGCGGAAGTTATTTCAACGGTGCAAGATAATAAATCAGAGCTTGCACAGTACGCAAATGTTCCAGAGAGAAAAGTTTTCCAAGTTCCCACGTCAGAAAAAGATCCATTTGAAAAGATTGTTTCTCAGGTAATAACAGATGAGAATGATAATGATTGGAGTCATTTGATTGTCAAAGTCGCAAATATGGTCTTTGTTTGGTCTTAGTTCGGCGTGTAGATTTTTATGATAGGAAACGGGAAGGAGAACCCGGAGAAAGCCCCGGAGCAAGTAAAGTATTAAGTAGTGGTAAATTTAAATGCCGTAATTATGAGTCGAGTGAGCGAATCGAACTGATCTCAAGAGGGCATTAGAGGCGGGAGCTTTCCTTTCTTCCTTATTCGTTCCCGCTTGTTCTTAAGCTGTATCATTCCTTAAAGAAATTTCTCGCTTGTTCGCTTTCTCTAATCTTCACTGCGTTTTTTCTGTATTTTGAAGATCATGACTAAAATCGAAACTAGAGTTAAAGGAATTAAAGGAAAGCTCTTAAAGTCTGTTCCACCGGAAGAAAAGGGAAGTCAGCAGTATCGTCAATGGGTGGAAGAGTTTTACAAAGACTCTGTTACAGATGCAGACCGGATCCTTATAACGCTTGCAGAACATCTCCGCGAGTACCACATTGCCTTGACTATAAACAAAAGCACAACCATGAAAAATGCCAGGAAATGCCTTCAAAAATATTTTGATTCTTTGGATAGAGAGAAGTTCCTACAGATTGACGAAAAGTTGACAAATCTCTTTCAAGCTGCTATGAGCATGTTGGATAAGCACGTGAAAGAACATGGTGAACCCCCAAATCCTCTTTTGATGAAACTAAAAGATTTGCTCTTGCAACACTATAAAGACGAAAGGCCTCAGAAGGGGGAGAAAGAAGAACAACTCAGAGCTAACGGGATTGAGAATGGCGGAGAAAATGAACGTCACGATGAAGGTTCAGCTACAGAGATATCAGAAGTAGGAGAAGATGTCGATGATTCTGAAAAGTCTAAAAAAACAAGATCCAGCAACCAAGAGAATGATAAGACTTGCGATGACAGTCAGGAAGAGGATAAAAATGAAGGGACATCACTAGATAAAACAACACACAATGAAGAAGAAAGTGGTGGAAACAAGAATGGAGACTCTGCAAAGGAAGACCTTGGTAATATTGACGCTGCTGATGTTGATGACGCGGCGGAAGAATGTGAATCTGGAACAGCTACAGAAAACAACCATGAAAACCCTAGCCAAGAGACTGACAAATCAGCGGAAAACTTGCAAGACGATAAGTCATTAAATAAAAGAAATGGTGAGCAGAGAGAGTGGAAAGGTCCCAAAGGCATTGTCTTTACAAGAACAAGAGAATCCACGACAGCTCTGGAAGATTGGATCAAGGAAGACGATGAACTGAATGCTGTCCTCAGGCCAGAGGCTCTTGTGGGCAGTGGAGATGGCAACAGTAAGTTCAAACCCTCAAGCAGTACATTTAATAAAAGACGTAATGCCCTTAGCGATGGTATCCCTGGCGTTTTGTTGCTGATGATTTTTCATACTAAAAATCACTGAGGAATAAAAGAGAAGATCTTTTTGGAATAAAAAAAAATTCAAACTGAAAAAAAATTTTTTTTCTTATTTTTTAGTCGGCATGACTCAGAATGAGCAAGAGCGAGTGATCAGTCGATTTCACAAAGGAGAAACGAACCTTCTCCTTGCAACAAGTGTGGCAGAGGAAGGTCTGGACATCATGGATTGTAATTTTGTGATCCGTTATGATATGATGGGCAACGAGATTTCCACTGTGCAGTCACGTGGCCGTGTCAGGTAAAAAAATTCAGCGCTAAATTAAAAATCGAGAGAGTCGTTTTAAAACTTTGAACGGAGTTATGGTTTTCGCGAGTTAAAATAAATCCCCCCCTTATCTGGGGGCTAGAACCAGAGAAACCCTTAGGGAGATCCGTTAAAGTGCCATGGGAGGGGGTGCATGAAATTTCGATTGTCTAGCACGCTGCAGTCGCAAGGATAAGCTCTGACAAGAGACTTTGAAACAAGCCAAGCTCGAGATTTGCATTGCTATGTTCTTCATAAAAAAAAAAATAATTGTAGCCTTCAATTTCATTTCGTCTTCTTTGGTTTCCCTTTCCTTTGATATTCAATCATTTTGAATTGACTCGTCCACCGAGAGCTTAAAGGGTTTGTGGCAGAGGTTACGTCAAATATTTTTATTCATTGTCGGGGCGTTTAGAGAAAAAAAGTACGAGAAATACGCGCGTACTCAACACGCTGAGCTTTAACTACATTTTTTCTCCTTCCTCTCTAAGTTCTTATATAATTATTTTGTTTTATGCATTTGCTATTTTAATTACCAGGGCGGAAGTGGGTATGTATAGCGTGCTCGTGAGTGGGGATTCTGGAGCATTAAAACGAGAATATACAAACCAATTTCGGGAATCCCTCATGATTGAAGCCCTCAGCAAGGTGCAAAAAATGTCTCCAAAAGCCTTTCAGAGTAAGGTAAGCACCGAACATATGTGTATTCTAACAATGGAAACCTTTGCCAAGGTGTAAAGGCATCCCCTTGCTTGGCTCCTTCGGGGGAAATGGCAAATAACATATATGTATTTGTTCATATTCAGCCCTGAGCAAACAGTCATCATTCCTCGCCCGGGGTGGAGGGGGGAATTGGGGTTGGAGGATCTTCGAGGATCACATGGTTTTCAGGGGGAGCGGAGGGAAAGATCAGTCGTCGCTAACAGAGTATAAAAGGGGGGAAATTATGGAAAATTGACTTCTAATAAACTGAAAATGAAGGAGAAGGGGGTGTTACAAAACCAAAATCGTCTAATTCCTCTCCCCCCCTTAATTAAAGGCGATACATAATGACTGGTTCCAAACATAGGGGGACATCAATGTAATTTCTTAATCGTAAAAAACAATGTGTGCAACAACGTAAATTACATGCAGAAAATCAGTATTTTACTGCATTTGTCAAAGTGATCTAGGACTCTTCCCTCTTCCGTTGAAGGTGACCTCTCACAAAATCTGTATCCCTTAAAAAGGATCTATTCCGATAGATAAGTGTCGAGCTGTGAAACATGCATCAATTTTATGATCCAGTGGTAATTCTCTCCTCTTTCTAATGAAGGTGAAAGCTATACAGGATAGGAACTTTCTGGATCGCAAGTTGAAAAAGCGCGTGATGGCGTTGAAACATTCAGAGCCTGTGCCTGACGATGTCACCTTCCATTGCCGAAGGTGCTTTGCAGAAGTTTGTCAAGCGCATAACATACGGCGCGTTAAAGAAACCTATCACGTGATTATAAGTAGCGACGTACGGGACTCCAAGGTAGGGACACTTTGTCACAAGAAATGTGTTTTTTTCATCTAAGTAAAATGATAACTAAAAGTTTGATCGTTCGTGTCACGATCTAGTGACCATATATCGTGGATGAATGTGACTCCAGGTCGTTTGATGCACGAATGAACGTTCTCTGTCGTGACTGCCTTGAAAACATTTTTTTCTTTTGACCTCAGCAAGTCTAAATGATCAATTGTTCTAGCCGGACGCGATCCCCTGAACTAACACAGAAAAATAATTTTCCGAATGTTGTTGTTCCTTTTTTTTTTTTTTTTTTTAACCGGCCAGTCAGGCTGTTGGATCTGTTAAATCGTAGACCAAATTATTGAATTAGCTCGAGTGCAATGAAGACACTAAAAGGTCAAAATCAGTGAACCTGAAGCGGCCTTTCTCCAGCTTCGTAAAATCCACCTCTCACTTTTACCATAACTTTCAGGAGTATAAATTTAAAACTAGCCGCGTCAGTTTTCATATACAGCGATGTTTAATAGATGATTCAACAATCTTGTTACATAAGGCTGTTGGATCATCGTCATTCCAAAAATGAAAATGGTTGGTTAAGAATCTTTGACTCTAATATTTCTAGGTGGTCATGGAGGAACATCACAACCCTAAGGCTCTTGATGGCGTCGAAATGAACAGGAAAATATATTGTAAAGAGTGCAGGGAAGACTGGGGTGTCACAGTTCTTATCAATGGCATGGAGTGGATGTGCATCAAGATTTCCGGCTTCGTTCTCCAATTTCCAGAGCCTAAGGCTCGAAGGTTGACGGTGAAGAAGTGGAAACTTCTCCCTTTCACAATACAAGAGGCCACTTTTGAAGAGCTCATGCAACAAGCTCAACAACAAGAACCAAAAGATGACTTGGACGATGAATTCAGCCTGTTGTTTGATTGATCACATTTTATCATGCGTTGTATCGTTGATTAACAGAACCTGAAATCTTAATTACTTTCCTCAAGCTGTCGGCTTCATTGTATGTAGTGAGGATATAGTAGAAATATGAATTATGATAGTATCACGGTATTACGGTACGGTTTTCATGATTGAGTGTTACAGTAGAGCATATTTGATTGAATGATGAGACAGGAAACCTATGAGAATACAAATTAAAAACAAGGAAATGATAGAGTCACGATTGCTTAAGTTTCGCATCTGATTGGTTGAGAGGATGGAGAGACTATTCCAGACTAAACAAGAAGAAAAGCAAAGCAGAACCAATGTAATCTTTGAACGCTCAATTTAAAATTGATCTATACACTCATGGCTTAAATAGATGGTCAAAATAATACTGTTATGAACAATGCTCACTTATAATCAGTTTTGTTTTAACAAGATAAGTTCATTTTTTGGTCGTTACCAGGCTTTAAGCCACCGTTTGGGTTCTTAGACTGAGTGAGATCTCTATATCTGTACACTGTTTCATATTAATCCTTTAACTACCAAAAATCTGATCAGTAATTCTCTTTCTTGTCTGCTATACAATTTTCATGAAGTAAATTTGGAGAATTTGGTATTGGATCAACAAATAGTCCCCTAATTGATATTTTTCTTTATTCTCATCAATTCTATGTTTGATATTGTATTGATATAGTAAGGATAAATTCTCTCCTGGTCACTCAAGGGAGGTAAAGGGTCAAACCGTTTTTGGCCATAATTCTCATATTTTCATAGATGGCCACGGAGATAGTTGATGGAGACTTATTGATACAATATTTGATGTAACCGCCAAGTAGAGAGCCTACACTAATCAAGCTGTACTCTCTCGACGACGCTAAAAGAGATTGACTTCAAAGATGCATATTACGAAAATATTCTGATTATCCTATGAAAAGATCGAAAGTTATTTACACAATCGAGATCTATGGTACACAAGTGGTTCAGTTTCGTCTTCGTTACTTCTTAGTATAGAAAAATAGAATTTTTGGTGCACGGTATGGATCAGTAAAAGATGGTTTTACGTGTATTGTTAGCTACTATGTGCATGTTAAATCAATGTAGTCTATATCAAATGGAAAATAAATGGCGTTGAATAAAGATCTCAGGCATGCCAAGCAATTTACGAACAGACTCAATAGTACGAGGAGGGGAATAGTGAGGAGGACTCTCTTCCTCTTTTATCGTAGCGCCTCCGAAGACTGTATGCAAGCTACACATAAGTCTGGTCACTTATTGGTATTTGGGTGCTTGACTATGTAAATGCAATGTCAGTACAAAAATCGTTACAATTATTTAAACAAGCAAACTAAGGCTTATGGAGGATAATCGAACTGAGAGGCATATTAATCCCATAAACATCTTGTAGAAAATCAAAACGAATAATCCCCAGAAGAGGGCCCAACATAGGTTTAGCGGGATGAGGCTTAAAATCCAGACGGGGGTGTGGGATACGAGAAATTTTAAAAGCGGAATGTAAGATGAAAATTGGAAAGTGAAACCGGGATATGCTCCATTTTAAGGCGGGATAGGAGATAGGACGAGTTTTGTCGAGATCATGATTTAGCTATTGTTACGAGTCACGCGACCTCAGAGCCATTGAAAAGTGTTTATTTGTTTTAGAAACGGGATTAGTTAATGTTCCCGTGTAACTCTAAATGATTCCGAAGTATTTCCACTCTTCTTTGTATTTGTTACTAGTGTTTACGCGGCTCCATATAGTATGTCCAGTTTTCTCGCCTTCGTTATCATCTTGCTCTCGCCTGTACGTCTTTTTGAGGGAACACCCCTTTCTGTATGATGTTTCGTAAATTGCTTGGCATGCCTGAGATCTTTATTCAACGCCATTTATTTTCCATTTGATATAAAGATTTCTCTTAGTGATGGTTTTTGTGGCATTAAATGTCACTCGCTCATAGGGATTTCTTCAGGGTTTGGAACTGTTGGGTAGTATCGTGTTTCAAAGGGCAAGATTCGATTGTTTTTTTTTTCCCTTCTGAGAGTTGGTTGTCGATAAAGTTTTTCGGGTAGCCTCTCTATGCCAAATATTTTTTTAACTGTCTAATGTCATCTTCAAATTTTTCTTTTGAAGCCTTTCTTAGCTCCCGGTGGGTGTGGGTATGTGTAGAGGTGGGTCCTCATGTCCAGAACTGAGTCCCTGTTGAACCTTTTACATTTATGGATAGTGGTGTCTGAAAGAGATATTTCAGCCGTAAATTTGATTGTTGGGTTGTTTCAATTTGTTTGTTCAATGAACTGGTTAACGACATCGCTGTTGGTGGGTTCGGGATGAAAATGTTCATTGCGGTAGGATGGCGGGATGGAATGAAAATAGCGGCGGGATACGGGATTGAAAAATTATGTTTTGGACCCTCCCAGAAGGCTATGACACTAAAACTGTTATTTTGTCGTAATATGTTCTACAGGCACCAAAATTTGTGCTTACCTTTGCAGAAAGCTACATAAGTAATTCTGACATGTATGCCCACATTTTGATCGAAAGGGATTAGAAATTTGCATATACGGGTCACGAGGCAAAGCGCATGTCATATCTGTCTCCACAAGCGAAGTCTAAATCAGTTTGATTATAATTATATCAAAGAAAGGTTAACGATGTTCGCACAGTTTGCACCAAGAATTCGAGAGATAAAGCTCGCAAGAGAGCAGCTACAAGATTTAGTGAACGCTTTAACGGAAACCAGAGATGATGTTCGTCGTCTCCTTAACGAAGAGTGTTCCACCTCAAACGAGTGGCAAGATTTCGAGACAGTCTCCAATCGAATTGACCGGTTAAACGCCTCTGCAATTCAGCTTACAACACGGGCGGAAAGTAAACTGCAGATCGCTTTTGTTGGTTCCGTTGGCGCCGGAAAATCGACTTTGATAAACGCCTTACTCGGTGAAAACATAATGCCTGTTACTCGAGCTGAGACCACCTTTTGCAACGTAGCGGTGACCGGGTCTTCAAGCGACGAGTGGACGGCGGTCGAAAGAAGCTCTGGTAAATCTCTAGAGATTTCCGAGTTTCGACAACTTCTTCACGTTCTAAAAGCTAAAGAACAGCGGGAAACACTCGGTCTCACCCCGGCCAGTATTATTGATGTGAAATGGCCTACGGCGCGATGTAAGGCTCTTGTGGAAAATGTTGTGTTGTACGATACTCCGGGAATAGGCGAACGGAAGGCTACAGATGATGCAGTGACCGAACTCTGTAAGTTTGTGGATGTCATTGTCGCCGTTATGGATATTCATAGCCCCAGTTTGAGAACCGTAAGTAACACCTTACCATTTTAAATGAGATCAACCCCGAAAGCGAAACAAGGCTCTTAAATTACTGCCGAGCTAATGAAGTTTGTGTTACCAAAACTAACACACTGACACACTCTCCGCATCGCTTGCTCTGAGTTAGCGAGATTTATCGATGAGACTGAAAAATGCTACAAGTCCAACCCCTCAGCATTTTATTAACTTATATTTAGGAATTGAAATCAATTTTTTTCCCAGAACGACTCCATGTTTCAGAGACGCATGAATGACGCCATATTGTATATTTCCTTTTTGATTTGAATATTTGAATCTGACTAAGTATGTTCAAAACATGTATAACTTTGCTCTACGCTGTACTTATACTCGAAAAACCTGTCGTATTTTTTTGTTAAGATTCCGCGAGCGAAACAGTGAAGAGTTTTCTTCAGAACTTGATTCAATATTTTCTTGGGTCCATGTTTATATTTTCATAGAATGATTACAATGCTTGGGTAAATATTGCTGATATACATACACTTGGCGCCTTATGGATTATTGTTTTGTCGGTAAATTAAGGGGGGGGGGATTTTTAAGGATTGCATTGCCCTTAGTGAATAAGCAGTCGGGATAAAATCAGAGATACTCTCAGAGAGCCACTGCCTGTAACTGAGCTTACTGTCTAGTAATCCACATAGTAATTTCGAGCGGAAGAAGATTATGCTAATCCGTTTCGCTTTGTGCTTGCCAAACCGAAATTCTTTCCAGGCTTTACTGACTGAATTCTGTCACACTATTGCAACAATTGTAATTAAGCTTCGAAAGTATAAGGCTGGTTTTATCTATCGACCTGGCCTTTGATTAATTTCGACGTGTAATTTACGTGTATAAGTGGTGTTCAAAATGTAGTCATCTCAACTGCCCTGTAGGTAGTGGATTTCGTGACAGCTGTTAGCTGCAGATACACTTTGGGGGTTTTCACCAAGTGGGACATGTTTCAAGAGAACCATTCTTCTGACGACTATACAGAAATCCCGACAGGCGACATTAAAGATCGCTGTGTGGCAGAATTCATGACCGCTGTGTCTGACAGAGGAAAGGTTTTCTTCATTGACTCGCAGACTCAAAGGGAAGCAGTGAGGTGTCCTTTACAACAGGTAACTATGGTGAGACTTGAATTGACTCTTAATTCAAGGGCAGTATTTCCAATATTTAGAATTAGAGCTGAACCTTTAATTTCTCATTCTTACCAAAGTAATAACCATTTCTCTCTCCTTGTGAAAGAAGGACATGAATGGTAAGAGGCTAGATAAAAATGTTAGCGAAATCTTTGCGAGTTGCCTGGGAATGAGCATTTCTGCCAAGAGGAGAAAAAATACTCCAGGTCCCTTCATCTCCATAGTTATTTCTTTATCAAACTTTTGGTCCAAAACCGAAATTCTTCCAACGACAGGCTCCTATAATACCAATCAACTTGAATTATTATAATTTAATGAACGAGAAATATTTCTAAGCTTATTTGAACACTGGTGCAAACTTTCCCTTAAACTTTCCCTTATGAAAATTTCTGGATCACCCCCCCCCCCCCCCCCCCCTCCCTCGCTCTGGTATTTGCCCTGCTAATTAACTATTTAGCCTTCCCAGACCAACTTTGCTCACTTTCTTTTGAAGCAGAATGAAGCCTCATCCACTACTTCAGATGAAACAGAAACAGAGGGTTCCCGAGGATTTAAGGAATTCGAACGCAATTTGGTCGAAGCAGCTAAAGGTGCTTTAAAATTCGACACACTCAAGTACGATATGCAGGCTTTCGTTGCACAAGCAAAGGGGTTGTCAGGAAATCTGGGCAGAATAATGGAAAGCCGAAAGAAAAAGAGAATTCAGCGGCTCTCAAACCGGATGAACAAGCTTACCGATGCCGAGAATAGCATAAAGTCGCACCTGTCCCAAGTATCAAGTATCCTTGTAGATGTAGTGAAGCGCCTTCAGCGAGACCGACAGATTGCTGAGTTCAAGATGCAAATAGAACATGACATGAAGAACGGTGTCTCTCCAGAAAACGCCTTAGATCGGTGCCGGGATGGTTTGAACCATAGACTCCACGTTCTGGTGAAAAAGGACAAAGATCTCAAGGAACAGTTGGACTGTATCTGGAATTGCCTGTCGAAAGTGGCAGATGGACCTGGTAGACTCACTTTCCAAGTAACGGAGCCCACGTGGAAAAGCGAGGATTTTCAGCTCGACGAGAGTTTCGAATATCAAGGAAATGACCTACACGGCTGCCTAACAAATCCAAGTTTACCTTCCAAAATGGTGTGCTGTGGTTTATTAGGAGCTTTGATATATGGTCAAAGCGGAGGTAAGAAGTTCCTCTAGGTGTCTTATAAACTTCCATTCGGACATGATCATGTTGGATCAACCATAGGCAGGACTAGAAATTGAAATTTGGCTTTACGGTAGCAAGTAATAACAAATCTATGTACCCCGTGGGCTGTCTAGTGCCTCCAATTGCCTAAATATATCTTTTATCCATTCATTCAATTATTTATTCTTTCTTTCTTTCGTTTACTGTTTTGTTTGTTCATTCAAATTTTTGTTAGATTTTCTCTGCTTTAGCTGCGTAAGGTTTTGAGTTTTTGGTACCAAAAATCCCGCCAGTAAGAGGTGGGTTTCAATCATTAGTGCAGAAAGATCAACTTTCAGATGATCTGAATTCCTACGTCGACTCTCGTTGTCAACCTCGCCTCGAACTTTTTGGATGTCCACATAAAATTATTTTATCTCTTTCATCTCGCAAATTGCTTTTTATTTCTTCAGCTCTAATCTCAGCAATTGGTGTACCTGCGGTAAACAGTTTAGTACCATGGACTGATTTGAATGGATGGCTGAAATACTTTTGGCCCGCATGTCAAGCTGAGGTCACTGCGGTCCAGAAGTTCTTCGAAACCAAAGTGAAGACATTACACGAGGTGTGTATAATTCACTAAACTTTAAAAGTTACAAAGCCGCCTTTCTTGTCTAAATAGCGTATTGCGATGAACAGTTTTGATAAAGTTTCAAGTGACAACGTGCAAATACATACAATTACGAGGAAGAAAGCGAATTCGAAAGATTTTCAAGTTGGCCAGTCACAAACTTACTCCGACTATTTAGGTTCTGAAAGGGGGGAATATAAGCATTATAACCCACTCGTTAATTTTCGCTATTCTAGTGGGTTCTTTACGTCACGTGGCGTAAAATCACGGCACAGTTACCACGCAATAACCCCTGATTGTTTCCAGCCAGCCCACTTTTTCATCATTATTTCTTTAAATGGAACAAAAAGGAAGTCGCCTTTTTAGAGTCCACTGATTTTGACAGAAAAAAGGTAATCTCAAGTACTGCTCCGGAAAGTGCAAAAAATGTCGACAAAATTTGCTCTCAACGCACCATACAAAAATTAGTGGGAGGGTTATGAAATAAATAAACCCCTTCTGGTTTGCTGGTATGTCGGCTGACAATTTACTTGGCTGAGAAATTGTCCTCAAAATTTCACATTTGCCCTGGAAGCTTTGCATCTCAGCCTAATTTTCATTTCTCGCAGCAGACGTTATCAGCCAACGTACGTACCAGCCGTCTGAAGGGATTTATTTACTATTAACGAAAGTCTTACGTACAATTATGATTTATCAGAAAAAACTTCACAGTCCTTGCATGCTTTTTCCCACCATAGGAAAAATGCGAACAAGTGGCAGTTGCAGGAATAAGTGACTTGAAAGAAACGGCGGAGATTAGAGTTCGCGGTGTAAAACGTTCATTAGAAGACGATATAAGATTTATCCAGGATGGAGAAAACTTTCTCAACAAACGGAGGAGGATTACAGATCGTCTACAAAGTTCGTTTGAGGCTTTTGAAGACAAAATACACGATATTTGAGCACGACAAACCATAAATGTTTAGCTTCCTTAGATCTAATATGGAAGAGTTAAGAGACACAATAGATCGTTTATGAAAGTTACCCTTTAAGCATTTGATTTAATCAGTTAACAAGATTTTTGAGATGAGCCGAGGAAAAAATTATTTTCATGTTTGTTTCAGAGTTAAGGCTGACCAGAGTTCCTATAGAGCTTAGTAAGTTGTTTAATCAGGTAGTTCTCGGGCATGAGAATGCCTCTTTGATCAGTCGAGCTACAGAAAAAACATTTTTACCAACTTGAAATGTGTAAGATTTTTGTAAAAGATTCAGTCGAAACTCTGCAAATCCGACAGAAGCACACAACCACAGGTAGGGTGCTTTCATTTTGTTTGGGACAGTTTTTAGATTCCGGCATTGACAACTTATGAGCCTCAAGAAATGCACGAGTATGGTACCAATTACATGCACCATATAATTATCACCGTTTGTTTGAGGGACAAAAGATTTTTGACATTTTCTCGAATTTTTCTCAATTCCGTGGCTGTACATTCTGATTAAATTAAATGCATGAATTCATTTGTTTACCTTGTGCGTGCCGAACGAGGTGAAGACCAAGACCAGTTGAGTCGTCAACGAGATTTAACCCAAGTAAGTGGACTTACTTCGCTCCTAAAATTGCTATCACGAGAAGCTTTATATTTCTGTTCATATGAACACAGAGTTCAAAGTTGAGCGAAAATTTTAAATTGTCACTCCACAAAACGAGAAATACTTGGACTCATTTTTTCCATGGCTGCATGTTAGGGTAATAAGAAGCCAAAATTTAAGCCGAACTCGTCCAACCTGCAATAAAGCAAATTCTGAACGGTGATTTTATTGATTTCTTCTCCATTTTAAATTAAAAACAAGACAACAACAACTGAGATGATACACAACATACAGGAACACATTAGTTATTAATCTTTCTACCTCGTTTTTTAGAAGGGAGATTTAAATGTTTCATCTAAGATTCAAAACACTTTTCGTAACGCATCATATCTGTGTAATGTGTTAAGTTAGGTATCAGTTCTCGATATTCCGTCCGGTAAGATTTCCACGAAAACAATAGATTACCTTTGGGACAATGGCTATGTTCTACAGTAGTATGGGGCTGTAGGGAAATGCTACCTATGATTAAATTAATTTATAATGGTAATTGAACTGAGTGGAGTGCAATTTGGGCTGAAATGATATGCGTGATTTCAAAATTGAACGGGCACGCAGTACGAGTTCGATTTGAAGTCACAAGTATGATTTTAGATCAAAATTGCACGACACGAGGTTCAATTACCACTTTATCACATCCATTTTGAAATCGCTCAAACACAGGACTTGGTCAGTTCAAATGTTTTATTGATGCAGTACTGAGCTGGTTTGAAATTAAATTCATACATTTTTTGGTAGGAAAAAATAACAGTTTCGGAAACAATAGTAGCAAAATTTGCCACATGATACTCTTTGTCTCACATTTTACTGCAATTTGATTGGTTACTTCAAACAAGCCTTGAAATCTGATCGGTTGTTTTGTTTTTAGTATAGCCTCCTCATTGGCTGGGAAAAAGATGCGATTTAAAGCAAAAAATGATACGATTCGTGAATAAATCGCACCAATTAGAGCCAATCAGATAACAGGGACCGCCAGTGATTTCAAAATAGGTGTAATAAATAATTAAATGAAATGAATACGGTTTCATTTAATCGTGATCTCTTTCCTTTACTGGAAAGAAGAACGTTACTCTCAACATGTGGCTTCAAAGCTCAGCTGAAATTAACGCCTGACCGGCCAGTATCTGAGAGGCATCGTTCGAACTCCGTCGGAGCCAGAAATTTTTGAAGACTTCTTTTCAGCAATTCTTTGACTGCAGACCACCTGCAAGGATCACTTCTGTACTTCTACATTCAATTCACTAAAATTTTATCTATCAACATGTCCATCTCATGGTGTGATGCATTGAATTTATCAAAAACACATCGCTCTCTGTAAAAAATATAGAGGTAAAAAAACACTTCTAACAACTGATCTCCATGGTGGTTGCTATTTCTGATTCAAGAAGACGATCGAGGATGGAGAAGGCAAAGTATGAGAGACGAGACAATTGTTTATCACTATTTTCTAAAAACTTGCGATTACTTCAAACGGAACAGTTGAATTTCGGGTATTCATTTGAATAATGTAAAGTCAAACCCAAAGTGATCAAAAAGGCGAGTGAAGAAGAACGATCGAGGGGAGGCACATTTCAATGGAAACTAATTGACTTTAGTCTTGAATGCAAGCAATTGGTTGAGAGGATGGCTTGTTCTTTTCAGACGAAATTCCAGACCGAATTTAACCGAAACCAGTGTAATACTAGATTATTTTCAACAACCAATTGTAAATTTCCCTAACACATGATTGCTGAAACATCTCAACTGAACGCCTACAAGCGCGACTTTCTATGAATATGAGTGAGGAGGATCGCGCCTAAAATTACAAGACACACTTTCGATTCCTTCTTTCGTATTTTATTCTTCTGGTTTCATAATCCGGACTTCTTTATGTCTTGAGTATTGAATACTACGGCAAAGTAGTACTTCGTAAAGTTTATACAAGGGAATGTTCTGATGTCACCAAACTTATCGACATTTTTACTCTTCCTCTTAAGTTGTTGTCGCCACATTTAATTATGGTATTCTTTTTCTATCTTCGACCCACAACATATCAGAAACAAAATTAAATTGTCTTTGTTCATTCAAATCAGTTTTGTCGTTTTCGCGGGTGTCTGCCTCTTCTTTTCGGTGGATTCGTTGTCTCCAATATCCACCCGAAATACGGAGTCACCCGGGTAAAAAAACTGTAACGACCTTTTACCCCGCATCCCTCGCCCCAGCTCACCAGCCCGGCGACGGTCCATCGATAGCCTCTGGTTTTTGAATCATAGTTCTCGCGCAAAAATGGTCCCCCACCATCACCTCGGCAAGAATGTTGCCACGCCTTATTGTGTTCGGCGCAAAACATGACTGTCCTGTTAAATGCCTGACGGGTGCTATTACCACAAGCTTTATTAGGGGATACCTCCAGGGCGACATGCACCGTCACTTTGCTTCGGCCCCTCTTCCGATGTTTTGAGGATTTCTTATCTTGCTTCGCTTGAGTTTGTTTTTCACCCCATCCAGCGACAAAGCCGTGTTTTCCAGGAGCTGCCAAGTCATTATGCTCTGCAGGCAAGCATACGGGACTCACATACTTTCCAAACTTGACTTTTCGGTTTAGTTTAATGAGCGCAATGTCGTTTTCATGGCTTTGCCTCTTGTAGTTGTCGTGTATGTGAATTTTAGCGGCTTCAATGACTTGTTCCGGACTGATTCTTCTGTCTCCAAGATGGTGGCCCCCAGCTTTTATGGTGTATCTACAGAAAACGTTGATTGATGGAATTGGATGAGGTAGTCTAAGTTAAATTGATCATAATTCTACTGATGTAAGAAACTAACGCTAAGGTCAGCTCAATATGGGAACCTTTTGAAACTTTGGATGCGGACCGTAAAGAGATACGTGCGATCCGTAGATTGTATCCCACTTGTGTGAATCTCTGCACACTAAGCCTGAGTGGCTTGCGCTCAATTCTCATAAAGAGCGGGGATTACTGGACATTTGGGGCACGCTTGTTCTGCCTCATGGCGTAAAGAACGAGGAATATTACATTTGAAGCGCGTTACGTGAATGTCGCGCATGCTCCTGAACTTGGTGCAAAGCAAGTTTTCTCCGCCACTTTGTCAAGATACATCAACAATTATGTTGCAGTAACGCTATTCGTATTTGTGTTCGAAACACTGATGGCGAAATGGCCTTACTATCAATGATAAAGTAACTAAAGAGGATTAATGGCTGAAGATGTTACTTGAGTCTCAAGGAAGCACAAGTTTTAGTCCCAAACACATTTTGGGTGACTTGATCACTTACTTGGAAGCAGGGCGCACGACGGCTCTCCATGTTTTAGAGTAAAAGCAATGTGCCGCAGTGATGACCCACTCCTTGCTGATTAGAGCTCCACTGCAGATCTTTGCACCCCCTGACAAATTTAAAAAGTTATGTGGTCGATCAATAAGCTACCCTCGAAGAGACTCTAATCCGCCAGAAAAACAAAGGGCCCACGAAATTTGATGCTAAAACACTTCTCAAAGAGTGTACTTTGGATTTAAAGAAATTGCGATGATTGACAGCCTCCGAGGCACAAAGACAAATCAACCCTATTCGATACGTCAAAATTGAAAAACTCTTCCTTAAAAATATCCTTATTATACTAATTATACGTTCGCTAACGTAAGAAAAAAATTTCAAAGGAAAACAAAAGAAAACAAAGCAACGACATTATGATAAAGGGGTGACTTTAGTTGTAGCCATGGTGTAATGGCCTATATACTATGGTGACCAAGGCCATCCAGATATAAAAGAATTGCATATACCACACTCTAGGAATACGTTTAATTTACTTGATCCTTTTTTTCGTGCTTACCGTTCCAGTGGAGGCTAATTTGCCAAGGCCATACACCACTTGTCGCCCTATTGCCCCGCACATTGCGAGCTCTTGGTTTGGTCACACTTACACCACATTCGCTAGGATCTAAAGAAGAAGAATGAGGTTGTGCGGCTTAGTTTTGATTCCTTTTCATGAAACGTAGCTGTACAGATTAGCTTAAAACAGAGTTTTCTCCCGCAATTTGAGTTGAACTGTGGTTTTCATTTCTGCGCTCAATTTCCTACTAACTCACGGCTTTTAGTAATAAAGTAACAAGTTGAGATTTTTTGGTACGATTTGTCAACTATCTAACAATGGATCAATATTTACATGAATAATTATTTGATGTGGCTGATCGTGATTCTTTCCATACGTTTGATATTTAGGTGTTGACGATTTTTCTGATTTAAAATACTCAATTTGCTATTAATAGTTTTTGCGAAATATTGTGCTCTCTCTTTTTCAATAGCAACTCACCCTTTTTGTTCCTTGACACGGTTCGCCGTACAGCATCGAAAACGTCACCGTAATATCTCAGAAATATAAGATGGCTCTTCTCAGGCTGCGAGACAACAGACGACAAAAGCCGCGTATTGGGACTCTTGCCGACAGCAATGGAAAAGATCTGAAAAGATTTCTCGCTCTCCAATAAACGCGACGCCTTTGGGTGGCTTGTTCCCATGTTCAATAGTCCATTGCTTATGATAAACATGGCCTTATTGCTATTAGTCCGAGTATTAGGGACCAGCCTTCGCCGTGTCATGTACATGGCCCTACCGAGGGAAGTACCGCAACCCCCTGATTTCTTGATACCACCAATCTTTTTTATCACTCTGTCGGACGGAGACGCGAAATTCATGAAAGTATATGGTTTACTGTTGTACGAGACAACTGCAATACGAATATCCCCGCGCCTGTGAACAAGAAATGACGCAAAAGTAAAGACACAGATGGCGTGAAAAGGTTTCACTTACAGGTGTAATTACACTATTAGCCTGTTCGACCACAATTTTCCATGTAGTTATTCATACCAGGACGATGAACTATATCAAAGTGCGCCGTGTGCTCCTATGCTTGAGCTATAAGCTCGGCTGCTGATAACAAGATATGTCGCACCGACTACAGAACCCTTGTTAAATTTGTGTAGTATACACTGAGATTCACAACACTAATGTGACAAAGATATTCTGGATTTTCTAGATGTGGGGAAAACGCAGAAATCATTCATGCATGGTGAGTACAGCTTAAAGTATCTTCTCAGCACCGTCTTAAAAATTTTAGCTAATCTCAGGCCGGAACTTATCATTAAAAAAGAAAAAAAAACACAAGCCTGTTTCTCAACATGCAGTCTATATACAATACTACTTGCGATACTCATTACTCACATCACAGTTGCTGCTAGAACTCTGATGAGTTCTTGAGCAAATTTGAGTCCAATCTTGTAGTCATCCTTGGTGACTCCATCAGATACATCCACTAAGAAAATCACATCCAGACCTCCATTGTAATCGAGATCAAGCGAACGACGTGTTCTGGAATTGGAATGAACCTCGGAACATGAATCGTTTGATGAGCACAGATGCTTGAAGTAATTGTCTAAAAGACTGTGACGAATAAAGGCGGTGGCTTCGTCCACATCCATCACTTTTTTGTCTAAGGAAAAATAGCAGCATCACTTTAGTTCCGATTTAAAAATTTCCTATTTGAGTTGCGTCTATGGTCCACATCAGTGGGAGATTTTCCTAATATCAAAAGCAAAAAGTAAGGCTAAGCAACCAGGCCATCTGAAGCAACAAACTTTGCTACCACCCTTTTTAGTTTGCTGATAAACTTTAATAATCTTGCCAGGAAAATAGCAATAAAACCGAAATGTTTCTTGCTTAGGACAAAGACCACTGACCTCGGTCACAACGCGAGTCTGCACCACCGTGTGTTCAAAAAAGAGTTACAATGTTATGGTTGCAAAAGACTAATGTTTGAACAAGCAATACGGAAAATCTCTTAGACTGACTTTCTAATAGGGGTTTATGGTGGATAATTCCGTCTTTTTCTCAATGTACTGAATTTACGCAACGAGAAACTTATCTTTTTGGAAGAAAAATTATAACTTACCGATGCACTCAGGTCGCTTACTCCATATCCCATGGTTCTTGCAAACACTGACCACTGGTCCACGCAATTTGAAACCGCGGCTGCATCTGTATTTCACAGTCTTACCAACACTGAAATCAGATCCAATGAAGTAACCGTGACGAATCGTTCCCGGGTTACCACAGCTGGTTACTATAAAATTGAACAATTCAAAGTATTTTGAATAATACCTGAGTTACACGTCAACTATTTTAACTCCCTAACTCAAGAAAACAAATAACGTATGTTACTAAATATTCCAATATTTAAATATTCCGCAAACTATAATTATACTCCAAACACAATACACTTAAGGTGCTTGCAGTAAGTCAGCATTCGTATACGTCATTGATATCTCAGCCAACTTTGCGATGTGAATGCAGCGTCGACCGAGAAATTTTTTCCAAAAAAAAAAAAAATCGCCCTCGATTCAAAAATAAAAGGGGAATATGTCGAGATTTAATCGAATGGCAGTTTAAGTACAAAGCCAACAGGTCATTTTAAGTCGCTTAATAAAGAGAGTATGTAAGGACCGAAAGCAAATGCCAAGACACGATTCTTAGAGATTAAGCATCAGGAAATCTATTGCATTTCCTGGGAATACAGATCCCCTACCTTTTGGGAATCTGCATTTTGGCTCCCTCCCTTGTAGTTTGCCCTCAAAGCAGCGCCTCACTCTGTCTCCCTCCACTTGCTTGTAGCCATTGACACAGTCATAAGTAACCCTAGAGTAGTTACAACAATGTCGGATTGCCACATGGAGGGGACGGGAATGAACAAGTTCCCTTACCACGGACTCACAGGTTCGGTTGCTAGGGCCAGTTGCTGGGTGTTAATCAGAAATAGACATGTTAGTGAATGACAAATCAACTAGTGAGTGCATGTAGACATGGACGATTAAGCTAAAAAAGCGGATTCCCAATGCAACCTGCTTCCGAATGTAGCCTCTCTTTGGCGTCATTTTAAGACTCGAGTTGTCCATGCGGAAGAAAACAGTTATACAGTTATACCTCACATGTTTGAACACTTTGATGGAAAAGAGGCCACAAGGCTCCAAGAGCAAACTTAACGAAATTAGGAGCGACATGAAAGTAGCTTGGCATGGATTTGAGAAGTAAGGCTATTATTTGGGAATCAGTCTCTTTGTCTAACACTCTCTCGGCTGAGACAAAGAGGATACATTTTATTAAAACTGTCTGATCAGAGGTGGTCGCAGTCTCTATCTACTCACAAAGGGTAATAGCTTTGACTCTGTTATTGCTTTAGTACGGACCTCCGAAGTTTTACTTCAGTGTCAGTTTGCGGAAATTCCCCGCCTTTTTAAAATCACAACAAAAGAATAAGTGTAGTCGTCCTTACAACAAAACGCCGTTTTCAAGATATTGTCGTCAATTTACTTTAGTCATCACTTTATGATTTAATCCTTTCTTTCAAGGCTAACCCACCCTAACCCAAACACCGTTAGACAAAGAGGTCATCTGTAGCAATAGAATACAATTAGTGAACCACAAGGTAGTCATCTAACTTAACTTAATCGCAATAAAATCTGGGATTGTTATTAGCAAGCGATAAATGTCCCACCTTTTTCGAATCCTTTCACAGAAGATACAGCGAGGCTCCACACAAAAAATGCCTGCAAACAGATGACACACCTAATTTAATAGATATCACGTCGGTTTGTTTGTTCGTGCGCTTTAATTAATCTTTGCCTTCTTAACGTTCAGACATCTTGTAACGGTAATTAAAGCACAAATTGTATGGATTATTCTCTTAACGTGATTTTTTCTTCCTTTCTCCAAGGAATATTGACCCTGACCCGCCCTATCATCAATTAAAAATTTTTGACTCCCTGCATATTTAAGAAAGGCGTGATTTGACAACAACTCCCACGAGTGCTGCTGTAATCTATAAACCATCAAAATCATCAAATTAGACATGCACGAGTCCTTGCAAAAAGATTGAAACCAAGAACTAAAATGATAAAAGCTAGCAGCCTTTTTTCATATTTCATCTTTTTATATTGAGTATTCTTCAAAGTTTCAGCTGTGTTCACGACAAGTCTAAGAAAAACCAACAGCTGTGAGAAAAACTAAATCATCGCGTAAGTCATGATTGGTCCAATTGACAGCTAAGTAATTTACTGGTATGATAAATCTATTTACTGCCCTTGTGGGTAATATGCTACCAACAACTAAGACGAGCTGATCTAGAATCTGATGGAATTAGAATAAAGGGCAGAGTAGCTTTTCTGACAAGTTTTCTTTTATTTCTGGAAGAAAATATCAAGTGGTACACGACCGTCACGCAAGCATTATCATGCACTTTATTTAGGAGATAACATCTGGCGTTAAGTTATAAAAAATCTTGAGGAATTAGAAAAAACAAGCTTTAGTTTATAAAATGACTAAAAATAGGGAAAGGTCATTAGATTAGATGACGGTACAGACAATAAATCAAAGATGCGAACTGAGTAGAAGATACAAACTGTAAGTCGTACAAAAAAAAAAAGGTTAAGTGGTTCAGAAGGGATTCATTCTTAATTATTTACATTATTCATCTTTTGAAAGAGTACCGGCAATCAACAGCGAAAGATAAGTAGCAGAAGAATTCTCAATAAAGCAATCCAATAAATCAAATATGGGGAGGCGTAACAGGTTTATTTTGAGCGTTTGGCGAACCAAAGATAAGTGTCTATAGTTACGTGTTGTTTATCGAGGAAAACTGCATGAGGAAAAATTCATATGACTTGTTCAGTTTAATTTGCTTTCATAAAGGGAACTAGCATCATGAACATATGACTTATACGGTTTAGTTTGCTTTCATAAAGGGAACTAGCATTATGAACATATGACTTATACGGTTTAGTTTGCTTTCATAAAGGGAACTAGCATCATGAACATATGACTTATACGGTTTAGTTTGCTTTCATAAAGGGAACTAGCATTATGAACATTCTCCCGACTTTTTAACTAACATTTTCAAAGACTTGTTCGAAAGTTAATTTTGCTCAGTATGTTTTTAAGATGTGACCAGCTAAATGATTACAAGTTTTGGTTTTCTTCGATCTTGGATTTTTCCAGCTTTTGCTTTTACATTCTCTCTCTTTCTTCTCCTTTTTTTTTTTTTTTCGGTACTGTCAAATGATTGATTTCGACATGAAAATGAAGTTCAACCGATGGATAGATCAAACGGACGCATCCCTAACATTCGCGTGAATGAGATAAGGAGAAACTGGTTTTTCATCTCTGCTAGAATCGACCTCGAGTAGGCTAAGAATGTTCATCTCGTTATAGAGTTTATCTTTTTGACCTACAGGAAGAAAAATCTCGATCTTCTTTGATCCTCTTAGGAATTTTTTCAGCTATGTATCTATGAAATGTGCGACTACTGGCCGAAGTAGCTAAAGAGGTCACCAAAATCATTGAGCTTTATTCTTATGTCGAGTCTAACAGACCAGGACGACGTAAAAATGGTTTATCACGGTGGATGTTTTTCGGTAAGGGTGGATATGGTGGATTCAGACAGATTGTCGGAAATCACTGGGGGGAATATGACATGCAACAAACTCAACTTGCAGCTCGAGACAGGAAGTTGCCAAGAAGGTTCCTGAGGATTTCCTTCTTATGTCGTTTTATCTGTTATGCGGAGATGAACTTGGGAATAATCAATCAAAATACAATTAAAGATGGTTTGCTTTTCAACAGCTGGCGCACGTGTGTGTGTGGTTGTATGTGGGAAGTGTAGTTGTAGATACAATAGTGGTTTATTGATAAAACGGGGTCCATTTGGTAGTTTGTTTTCGTCGTAAGACCTGGCGTGATTCTCTATGAATTGTCACAGTTTTCGGAAATGGTAATTGTAATCGTTAATAAATACGCCCACGCGAAACTATTTACTCTCTAAGCAAATGAAAAATGCACATTGCAATTTTGTTTCCCCAAATGAAACGGAAAGGTTCTACAGAAATGGTTGTAATACCTCATGACTTTGAATGCAGATGTTAATTAATAGAATTGATATTTGAGAATCTGGTCTTTGCGAAAAAAAAAACTCAAAGTGAAAAGATGAAAAAAAGAAAACTCAACCCACGTGTAAACAGGGTGCGAGAATTTCTGAGATCATATGGAAGGAAACTAGCCCTATCGGGCAATAGTGCACCATTCCTGCTCGACCAAATGTTATTTACATCCCTTGACTCGACCCTTTAGCAGTTTCACGTCATATTTGTAGAGAAGATTGGGCCAAAAACAAAGACTGCATCACTTAGATAGCATTCTTAGTTTGTTTTACCCTCTGGCTAGATATTCTGCTCGTATTATTCTCAACGAACCAAAATGCCCCTCGAAAAACTCGGTGTGCTCGACATTATGTATCCTACAATGGCATAAAGTCGTCCATGTAATCGAGCACAAAATCCATTGCACCGCTAAGGAAATAGTGTTTTATCCGTGTCAAAATTTCAAGTGATTGATCACTTTACGTGAGTATGTTTAGGCTAAGATTGAAGTTAATCGATTGTCTCAATTATAAATCAAGTCATTCATGTAATATTTGCGTGCGCAAATCAGTTTTAAGAGGCAAAGATTCAAAGGATTTGCAGTAATGTCGAGTGAAATTCCTCGAGGCATTACATGTTTCCGATTTTTCTGGGCAATTTTCCATCGTAAACAGAGGTGGTAAGTTTAGAACATAAAAAAAGGAATATTTAGTCTTGATTGTAGTTCATCATATCATCATTTATGGATCCACGGTAGGATCCTTGTATCCGCTCTTAGCACAGCTGAAGTCATAAATAAACGTGTGCGTTAAAACAGACAACCACCAAACGGAAATAATGCATTTAAAATGGATCCCTATAACAGCGCTTTTAAATAATTATTTGTAATTTAATCCAAACAGGCAGTCAGATGTCATTCATTATGTTATGTCAGGTCTAAAAATCTGTAGTTGTTTATCCATGAAAATACAGTGTGTCGACTCTCAAAACAAAAATTGATCTTTAGTCTATTTAAATCCAATGTATATGAATTGTTCTGAAGACGACCTCACTTAACTCTCTGATCAATATTTCTCTTCAGCGCGCGAAAAATGAAAACAAACGAGCCGCGTCTATATATGCTTAAGACACTGCGCTATGAGAGACTGTTTTTCTTTCTTTTCAAATAGCTCGTCTCATTCTCTTTGAAGCAAACACTGCTGTTTTTTTAATAAGCACATCTCATAAATCACGAGGCTACTTTGCAGTAAAGATATAAATCAGCCATTAGTCATATATTCGTAGGTGAGGTCAGGCATGTTTAGATGACTTGTTTACCATATAGATTATATACTTCTGCGGGTAAACATCCTAACAAGTTGTGAGAATTGGTTTTAGTGTTTTCAAAACAGTCATAAAGCTCTTTAGTTTAAATCAGATGGCGGAATATTTTAACAGTGCCTATCACTGCGATCAAAATGTTTTGATAGCAGGTTTACAAGTTGGATACAATGTTCACGCGCAGTTCTGGAGAGAAACTTCGTCGGTGTCACCCGCCTCAGGTTTAGGGGTGCACATGATGTGAAGAATGGATTAAGAAGTGTTTTTAACAATCGCAAGCATGAGTTAGAATACAAAAGCTACGAGAGCATCTTTGGACTAAGTCGATAGAGAGTTCGCAGCGACATAAAATGAAACGTTTCTTTTTACTCCGTAACTCCAAAAACGTTTTCATTTGGTTGCACTTTACAAAACAGATGTCAAGCAACAAAACTCTAGTACTTACCAACATTATTCCTCCGCCGTGCAGCGTTTCTTGTTAACAGCTATTCTCCCACCAGCTGGGAAGTAAACAAAGCTGTCTTAATCTCTCACTGAGTGTACTTTCAAATGTCTTAGCATGAACTATCTCATCGCTTTATCAGCTGCAGTTATACGATCCGCCCTCAGGCGAGGAATGACGCCGAGGGCAGGCGCCTGGACTTTTTCAGCAACACCTAAGACCTTCTCAGTCTTATAATCAATTTATCGAGAGCTATACGTGATGTGTGATTTAAGCATCATTATTGGCGCTTATTTCATTCTACAGAGAGTAGTGTGAGTAATGAGAGGCCGTAAAGGGCTAAGTCCTCTCTCGAGTTTCAACTTTGTTTTAGGTGTGTGCGGTTTTGCTAAGGACCACTCAAAAAGTCGTTTAAGTTAACGCTTCTTTGACGCATTCTGTTGTTAATCATGAATTGAGATCTACAACATGCGCTCCATAAAGATAAAGGTTTTGATAGAAAACATTTGCAGAGCCATGCTTCGGTAATTATTTATCTTTTTCACCTGTCAAATTCGTAGTTGCAAATAGATGAATATGTTTACAAACTTGTCCAGAGGGTGTATTAATGTCTGTTTAATTGTTAGGGAATTTTGCCTGTCTTGTTGATACCACTAATTGACACCATATTGGGGTTGAGAATTAAAATGTATAATTTATTTTTGTCGCATAAAGTAATATTTGTATCAGTAAGTGTTATTTGTAGGTTCAAATTCTATTGCGTGCTATAAGTTGCAAATATTTGCGCGACTTGATAAGCCAAATGTCCTTTCGTGAACTCTCCCTTCAAGCACCGCAGGTCTTTTTGCAAGAAACAATTCTGGGACGGAAATTGCAATAATTTACACTCAAAACTGCCTTCATCTTCCAAAGGAGCTAACTTGTCCAATTCCCACCATCATTGAACAAAACAAATTGAACAAAATATCTCCTTATGATAGACCTGAAATAACTACAAAGTCAGCAACACAGGCATTTTTCGGTCCTTTAGAGTAACCAAACACGCCGTTCGTGTCTTTCACCGAGATAGTTTCAAGCAACTCTATTACGCAAGGTGATCAACCTCAGGTGGTCAAAATCGTGGGAAAAAATAATAACCCAAATTGATTCCAATAAAAACTGACGAGTGATGCTTCAGTTTTCTGTGTCTGCCTTGAATTGTGTTTAAAACCGTGAAGAGATACGGGTCATCGCCAGAAGCCTGCTCGATAGCTGATTATGGTCGCACACGTTCGGGGTCAGATTTGATCCAAAGATCTCTGCAAAAGAGACTCGTGGCGCAGATTAACATTTCTCTCAGAGTATGTTCTGTGTATTTAAAAGAAACATCGGTATTACCACGTATTTAGACATCCGAGCCTGTAACAAGAAGGTGATTAGCCACCACTATACCGACATGTTGAGGGTCCGGAGCGGGGAGTGTACCAAAGGGAATTTATTTTACCGGGTTGACGTGTGCTGTAGAGACCTTAAAACCTGTTACTACGTTTAGGACAAAAAAATTGTTATAGACTGTGGGCGAGCTGATCCGACCTTCTAAATCATACTTAGACATATTTTTCAAGTCAGATATTTCAAAAATTGTTAGTACCACACATGAAGACCGCCAACGTTGGCCTCGATTCCAGAAAGATACTTTACTCAAGAGGTTGAATAATATATTAACGTACTCTATTAGAGACTTGAGGACCGAGAAAACTACAGTCCTTCCCCTGGCAGAAAATGGCTGTGTAGGAATCATTCAGCCCTTCCCTATCCCCACCTCTCTCTCCCTGGGTCCTTGAATTTTGAATTGGCTTCGTACCGTATAAAACGCATGCAAACTTGATACTAAGTAAAAAGATCCCAGATGACAGATATTTTGATTGGAATTGCATTACGACCATGGTGCAAATTATGTCAATGTTAAAGAGTTGATCTTTTCAGTCTTGATTTCTTCAGAGGACGATGAGTCTTTCTCTCCGTTATTACAATCGATTTGCTAATCGAAGAATCTTTGGTGTTCAACGCCTGTAAAAACAACAGCTAAGCTACTTAATAAGTATAGGCTCAGGAAACTTAAACTTATTAACGACCAAAGGCGGATTTGAGGAACTGAACAACATTTAGTGTACGATCATGATTAAGGTATTTAATGAAAATAAAAATGAAATGTGCCGCGTTTTGCTTCCTCTGATAGAGCCGGCTGGGTCCACTCAGTCTAAATAAATAATTGGTTTTTAACTATACTTCAGTTCTGTAGGGCGACCGTCGCCTATCTCATAAGCCTGCCCACCCTTGTCTGAAAGAGAACGAGCTGTGGTGTGGTATTATCTCGAAAATTCAGAAATGCAATATTTGACCAGCATGGCACTGCTTCCCTTACGTAAATTACTAATCGGGGTATAGATGTTCCTGAAATTTAACACTGTATCTATAACTCACTGGGTTTCTTCTCCTATGCTTCAAGAATACTGATTTTCCTTGAAATTGCTGGAGTACCAAAATAGGAAAGTTTGGTCCGATAGCGCAATTAAAACTACGTTACTTAAAGGACACTGATCACATTACCGAGAGGAATGTGGTATTTATCTCTAATTAATTAACTTATTTCTCAGCATGGAAACTTTCTTTTAGATACCTACGTCGTTGCTGTTTTTCTTTAACTTGCAAGCTATCCCGAGAAAACAGTTTCAAAACTTAATTGTCACTTAATTGTGATCCTATTTAAATGTTGGACGTAAGGGTTTAGACGGAATTCCGTAACATTTGTAAAACGCGATTTGTCTTTAAAGCATTAATTCAAAATTCTGGATTTAAGCCCCTACATAAACACCACTCCCTCGGTGGATGATAGAGCGGAATCCTGATCCTTTAGCCTACGTGCTGCCGGGAAGTTTTAGGTCAGATTTGGTTTTATCAACTGAGTTGATAATGTAAATTAGCCACTGTAAATATGCTCTAACGCATCCATTAGAAAAAGAGTTTTACCCCTATGAAAATGTAACATCACCGCGACATCCTACTAGTCAGTGTCAGCAACAAGATCCTTGGGGTTCAGCAACGAGGATTAGGCTTTGATCGACGGAAAATGAGAAGAGCAAATATATTTTCGTAGCTATGTATAGGAAACACTCAACGTGAATTACAGTTATCCTTCTAGAAATGATGACCAAATGGGAGTGTTTGACTCCCGTTGAGATTATGATCATGATGGAGACCGGAAGTTATAGAAAGTCATTTTAAGTAATTGGTATATCAATAACTATAAACTTAAAATCGAAAAGGTAGTGAAGTTTACATTGGAAACCGTCGCGGTTATCTCCAAACCCAATTGGCGAGATCCGAACCGTCTAGATGACGCCCTCTACTATTCTTATTAATTTAAGACTTTCTTATCCAAGTTTTTTTTCGACCTTCTTCCAAATTGTTGTGGTTCAAATTATAAATAGATAAGCCTGTCACATTTTAACAGGATCAAATCTTACCTTGATCTGGAGAGCTCAGAGTGAGCCTTTCCATGAAGTGGGATTATAGCTCTCCTCCTTCTACATAAACGTCCAAAGAGATCTCGGTTTAGTTCCGATATTCGGCAGATGTTTGAATTGCTAGATACTTGCTGGAATTTTCCCCACTTTCCTCGAACAAGTTCGGCTTTCCAAGAAATACTAGTTGTTGGATTAATCAGTAAACAAATATTATTATACATTGAAAAATTCGGCTTCAAGTTTCAATATTTTTATGTAAAATCTATGTTAATCTCATTCATCTTTACCAGTCTCTTTCCTGTGAGCATTACCTACGTGATCTTAGCTTTAAATTGTATATAGTACGTAAACCACCATCACTTCAAAGTTACATTCCTTTCAAAGACGTTTATCACATCCCCCAAATGACCTATCCGCTTTTTTTCCTTTTCCAAAACTTGGTGACTGACCACCGTGCCGTTTTATCTGCCATCCGTCATGTGATCGTTTCACCCTTTACACCCTAACATCAGGAGGTATATTCTCCATATCGTTTTCTTTTACATTTCATAAGGTGCTGACATGGAGAATTTGTTAATCAATCAAAGGAATATTTAGTTGGTAATCATTTCCTTTATTCTCTTAACCTTACTGTGTGATGCAGGGGTTATACTGTTGGGAGAAATTATATGCTAGTCACTCAGGGATTAAAGGGTTACGCGTGCGGGATTGGCATGAAATCTGTAACTCTTTTCATAATCGCGTATTTACTCGTCTAGTAATGTAAGTGTGTAAATAAATTATTAATTTCTTGAAATCCAGGTTATTTTGTTGAGAATCGTCGTGTTTGTTATCGCGTCTACAAAGAAACCGCCAATCCAGCGACTCTTTTACCTCGAACGCACTTTCAATCTTCTTTAACCCTTTAACTCTAATGGGTGACCAAGACAGAATTTCTCCTTACGAATGTTATGGTTGACAGTAAGGAGAATTACAAATTTGATCTGGGAGTTAAAGGGTTAATAAATCTACTAAGAGGAACAATTGATTTTAAAGAGAATGTTAGTCATGGCAAAAAACGACAGCAAGACAGCAGACATCTGAAGGAAATACCGCCCCTTCTCGAGATTACTAAATAGGAATTTCAAGTTTTAAAAAGAGCCTAGCTTTTTGCAGGCCGATACGTTATTTTCTAAATATACTCAATGTTCATGCACGCTTTGGCTATAACCGTGACTGTCTTCGTGTTTAGAGTGGTGCTAACACCTTTTTATAAAAGTAACGTAAACGCAAAGAAATACGAATATATGCTCAGAGGGACATACTTTACTGAGCCTTAATTTTCTGAGGTAGTTACCATTTCTTATTACAATCATATTATTGTACTAAGAATAAAATGCTATGATTTCAAATCTTTCAGTTTTCAGCGTGTGAAAATTTGCAAAAACACATTTTTCGTTTCGTTTGACTGAGAAGACCGCCCATATTTCCTAACATCTTAGGTTCACAATTCTTCTGCGCAAAATTGGTTAAATCTCAATCTAGCAACCAATCTGCTGCATTTATAAACTGTTTCGTACTTTCCATCTAAGTTCCACAATCTTATTTTGGGGAAAATCCATGACAGGAAGTGGAAACTTGACCAACCTGCTATCCGGCCGATTATAATTTTAAGAGCACAAATAGTGCCTAGGAAGTGCTTTCACAACAAAGCAGTGTTTGTTTCGAATTTATCAAATGTTGACAACCTTTAATCTTAATTAGTTCACTTAAGAAACAAAACTTCGTATTGAAAGAAAAAGAGGCATTGTACCGTGATCGAAACATACTTATCGAGTTGATTCCGCTGGATTACGTACTGTTTCCAAGTTGCAAGTGGTAAAAGAGTATCGCTCACGCCCAGTTAAGTGAACATATAATCAGCTACAAGCTAGAGACTGCTAAAAATATTAAGAATATAATTTATTTTACAATAGACCCTTCTGGAAAGCATGTTATATTATACCTTTAAAATATTTTTTTGTCATTGTGAATTTCACTCAACCGAAGCTCTTGTTAAAACTTTCTTCTACCACTAAACCCACAAAGGCAACACCAGATTGCACGGCGAATTCGTTGGTTTTAGAAAACATAAATGGAAACAATATTAAAATATTGAATAAATCCCCTCGCAACACATCTAAATGAAAATCAAACAATACAAATCCAATAAATTTTCGTTTCAAAATAAAACAGAGGAAAAATGATCTTACCAAGATCAAGATACATATCATAAAATAAGATGTACTTACAACAAGCAATGTTAAGATATATCTTTAATCTTGTGTTTGTTTTCCGGTTATTAGACGTGGATGATTCCCAACAAGTTTAAATGACCGTAGAATATAAACAAGAACGGGATCGACCCAAAATATTTCCATACAAATTTTTCGTGGGCGTAAAATAGGCAGCTACTTCATTTACATTCTACACATTTGAATTTTACAACAACGAGAATGAAGTCGATGATTGAAATTCAAAAAGTCACTCGCCAGCATTTGACGACCGAATAAAAGTAATTTTATGAGAAATTTTCATACTTAACATATTATATACATTAATCAAAGTTAACCCAACTTTGCTGGGAATTAGAAGTACCACTTTGTTTATCGCACTTGATTTCTTCGCTCTTGGTATCCAAATTTTGGTTGACTTCTAGCGCTTGGTTACTCTTTGGCACATTGTGATCAGGACCACTGTCTCTTCTAATTTCCAAAAGAGATAAATCCACAGCACCTATATGATTCGACGTCGAGACACTTTGTGGAAGTTCAGCTTCATTTCTATTATTTCCTAAATTTGGATTTGCGTTACTGCTATTTTGTGCTCCAGTACCCACTTCAAGAGACTTAACGTCCGTCTCAGGAAACAAAAACTCTTGTGCATCAACCGGAAGTGACGCCATCGTGTCTCGTAATAATGATAACGACACTGGCCTCAATGGAGAAATCGTGTCATCAATTTGAGCACTTTCTAATATATCGTCCACTGATTTGGGTGGCTTCGTCGCACTTGACGTTGATGTAACATTATCCCCCATGTGTGCGTTTTCTAATAGAGGGTTCGCTGAGTCTTGAGGCTTTCTCTTTACCGAAGCTGGTCTCTTTGGAACTGGTGGTTTTGGTCGTGACGGAGATGATTTACTCCTCTCTACTGACGCTTCATTACTCTCTGAACTATGCCTAGTTGAATTTGATCGTCTTACATTTATGTCTACATCCTCATAGCTAAAGGTTCCCGAGGGAGTGATGTCTCCAGCAGAGTATTCATTTATGGATGTTTCTAAGGGTAGGAATGAATTTGTATCCTCGCTGGATGTATTTAAAGAGCCCATTTCCTGCAAGAAGAAGTAGCTTGCGTTTATTGTAATAAGGGCAGCATAATCGATCATACGAAGTAGCTCAAGTAAGTCTGGTAAAAGGAGCCCGTTTTTCCTTGAAATAAATAACGTCTATACCACAGCTTGACAAGCAATCAGCGATAATTACAAAATTCTCTTAAATGGGCTTTACTTTCGCTCAAAATGTTTCTTACTTTACACTAAAGATATAAACTAACATCAGAAAACTTGACAATGTAACATGCCAATTTTAACAGGGGTAAAACTCAACCAACCGCTCAAAAGCAAAACCTCCAGCTTTGCCAAACACCTCGCTTATCATTCAAGCGGAGACTAAGAATTAAGAAACTTCGATCATCTCAACTTTCAAAACCCACATTAACCTTGACACCTCTTCGACAAAGATCGCAAAGATTACCCTTATCTACGTTTCGGTTTTGAAGAACTATCCCTTCTTCGACGCATTTCAGTTCAAACCGCAAAACCATTCATTAATATATCCCCGAAGAAAACTTACCAAAGAATCAGTCGAGCCTTGTGTCCTATCACTAGCATTTGACGAATTTGGAATGTCATCCAGTGAGATGAGTTCGGCCACAACAGGTTCCAATGACAGATTGGGGGCACTGCTGCGTGCAACCAGCTTAGGGGAGAACTTTCCCTCCGCTGTTGACATGACTGAAGCGCGAGGGCGCTTGGCAGAAGCGCTGTAAGGACTTGGCCGAGGCGGAGGAGGTCTGGGTGGGCGCTCCTTTGCGCCACTTTCCAGTTTGAGTTTTTCGAACTAAAACACAAGCAGTCCAAGAAATTTAGTTATTATATGGGTGTATGCAAGCATAAAAGGGGCCTAATTTACATTGGAGATTCATTACACTACATTTGGAAATAATAAAATGGTAGCGTTTAAGATGTTGTCCTTAAAGAGGACCTGTCCGAAATACATTTGGCCAACCATTGTATCAACCACACAAACAACAACAACAACAACCACCACAACAACTAAGACGGTATCAACAACTGTTCTAAGGAGACGCTCCCGCAGTCAAAATGATTCATGGATTGTTCTACAAGGGAAAATGAATCACCTGGCTTTAATTGCACTTTGAGCATAGATCTTATTTACCTCAACAGGCGAAATTGTTCTTCTCTTGTTAAAAGGTGAAAGTCTGTAAACTGAGAACGACTTGAATTCCGGATTGGTATTTGATCTCTTCTGTTCTCCTGCATACTCGTCCTCATCCTATAAGAAGAGCATTTCCTTCTTCCATGCGCACACTTTAATTCATTATTCTAATCTATTACTATGTACGAGTTCTATGTGTGTTACCACAACTGTAAGGTTGTCCCTATGAAATACGCTACACGTTTCAATTTTGCTATTTACATTCATTCATCTCATCACCACAAATAAAGAATTACACAGTAAACAGGTAGCGTGGAAAGACAACCATTGGGCTCACGACATTCGTGTTAGCCATTCACAATCTCGAGAGATGTACGTGTGTGTGTATATAAAACATTGATTGATGGCCTAACATAGGCCAACACAGAAAGTATATGTTTATACCATAATCTATCATACTCCTTTAAGATTGATCGCTACGTCAGAATTGGTGTATTCTTGTGAAGTTAAGCTTGAGAATGGAGCCAAACTTTGCGAATTCTGAAGAGAGACTTAAAGCAAGAAAGACAACAGACCACCAACGAGAAGTCGACGTAAATTGCTGAACAACTTACAGCCACAATAAAAAAAACAAGGTTTTCTTTGAGAATTTACAAAGTAATATCGTTCTACCTTTCCCTTCAGTATATCCGCTAAATCAGCTCTAACTGATTTAATTCCATCCTTCGCAGTTTTCCATTTATTCTTGCACTGTTTCTTCACCATGTTACCAGCCTGGATAAGAAATCATAAAATTAAAAAAGTAATATACAATGAAAGTATGGCATGACAAGCTAAACAAGGCCCAATCAAGAAATAATGAGATCTTAAAAAAACATCTTAAGATACGGAAATTTCAATGATGGCTAAAAAGTAGAATTTTCTTCATCTGCGACATTACCGATAGACTCAAATTACTTCTTGAGAAAGGCAAAAACTGTGAAGTCATTAGTTTACCTTATCGAGGAAAGCACCGCCAGATTTCTGCAAATGAAAAACGCACAGATTCAATGTCACTGAAAGAGAGAATTAGTCTACATGGCCGGCGAGAAGGGAGAATAGGCTTCCTAAAGAATACTCAGTTCAAGCGGTAACTCAAAGCTCATTGTCACGGAGCTTTAGAGCCCTTTTCGACTGTGTTGTAAAAGTTAACGAGAACTCAGAGAAAAAAAAAAACAACTACTCAGCAATACAAGCTGACGGCATTTTAATACTTCTCTCACTATGGTTGTTCTTAGCTTATGTCAACTGAAAAGTCTACAGTAAAAGAACATCCAAGACAACAGTTTGATCAGAAGTGCCATTCTTCAAAAACCTTCGTTTCATTCATCCACGACTGATACTGTGATTTCCAGCTTCCTTTATCTGCAAAAAAAAACACATCGAAAAACAAATGGTGTCAGTAAAATCATTAAACCACGCTTATAAGGTTTCGGACCACTTGGAAGAGTTTTCGGCCTTTGCACCACTGCTGTTAAAAAA